CAGCTCCCAGGTGACACTGATACTGCTGTCCAAGGAACACACTCTTGAGTAGACAATACCAGAGTCGATACATCCAGGATATAGTCAATCACTCCTGTGGACAACTAATTTTTTCAAAACTTTTATGACAATGGATACAATTACCAGCTTTCATAACTAAGACAAACTGCAACAGTCACAAGAAACTTCAACTAGTTTAAAATTTTACTTAAAATTCTGTTGAGGCTGAGCACAGTGGTTCATGCCTATAATCCCAGCACTTTGAGAGGCAGAAGTGAACGTTTTGCCTGAGCCCAAGGGTTCGAGACCAGCCTGGGCAACTTGGCAAAACCTCGTCTCCACAATAAACAAAAAAATTAGCCAAGCATGGCACATGCCTATAGTCCCAGCCACTTGGAAGGCTGATGCGGAAGGATCATCTGAGCCCAGCCAGCAGATCAAGGCTGCAGTAGCTATGAGTGTGCCACTGTACTCCAGCCTGGGTGATAGACTCTGACTCAAAATTTTAAAAATGTTGAAACACTAATAAATATTTTGTTGAGGCCTAGTATTGAGTTACCAAACACATCTGACAATTTATGAACACACAAAACTTCCTAAACCAAGTGCTACTTTTCAGATACAACACGGCAACGATTAACAATGAAAAGTTATTTTAGGTGTTATTTTTAAAGATATTAATTTTATGCTTTATTCAGAAAATCAATAACAAATGCTCATTGTGCTAAAATTTTTTTTTTATATTTCATTATCAAAACACATACTAAAGAGAAGCTAGTCTCATAACATCTTTCTAAAAAAGGCTGGAGAATAACTTATAAAACCAAGGGTCTCCCCCATTTATTGCAAAGGGAAGTCACAACGAATCCTTAAGGAAAGGTCTAAGATTCCCTGAATCACAGAGACTGCCTGTGGCTACCTATTTATCAGGTTCTGAATCCATTTACAAAGTAACTGTAAAACCAGGAATTATGCCTTGTCTCAGAGTCTTCCTGGAACTCCTCCATCTTTCCCCATCTCCCAGATTCCAGTGTACAAAACAGTGAGGGCAAAGAAAAGAGGAAGAGGAAAGAACACATAGGAGAGACTGATGCAGAGTGGCAACAGCAGCTTGTGGATATCCAAGGGTTCTCGTTCCTGAAAACTAAGACCAGAGGATTCATGTACTTAGTCTGAATTAGAACCAGACTTTCTTCCTAAACCATCTGCATCCTAATTGTTGGAATTCCTAAATAAACTGTAGTCACCCTGGCCCTGCCACAGACTTAATGAGTTAAGCAATGTGCAAATCACCGGTATCCCAATGGCTCCCAGCTTACAAAAACTGCAAAGACACTGCTGAGGCTCTGAATTCTCAGCAGTGCCGCACTGTCTCCATCAGTCTATGGTAAATTTATGGTAACCATATAAACAGAACTGTGTAATGATGACAAAAGTACAAACCCTGTAGGGGTGAACTAATTTTTAGACAGTGGCTCCTCATAAGTAAAAATATGGGAGACACTGTTCTATGCAAAGTTCATTTATCCAATTATTTCAAAATAGGAATCAGAATTAACAAAGTGAACCATGTTCTCATTGTTCCACAAAACACAGAATCTATTTTTCAATGGAATAATTTTAAAAAATCATTTAAGTTTCTAAAGTTCACATAAAATTCTGGGTCTCAGGACATAAAATACAAAATATACATACGTATTAATTTTTTAATTAACCATAAATAAAAACTAATGGTTATATAGAGCTACTTTTAAAATACATTGTCACTCCTATAATGTACTTAACTACCTTTTTCAAAAGATTAGTTTTCTATTAGAACAAAGCTTGAGCTTGAATTGTCTAATATGACAAACTTACCTCATGCCTTCCCAAAAGAATTTGTGTTGCTGTATAAAGACAATATTTTTTCAGGAATTTTAATTGTTACAGATGGCAAAGATACAGGATTTTAAAATCCTAGAATCATAGTATATTGCATAATATCACCACAAAATTAAAATACTCTAAAACGGTAACTCTGCTGCTTAAATATACATTGGCATTAAAGGCTAAAAGGTTAATGAGTAAGGTTTAAGAGTGCAGTCTACATCCAATACTTTTGAAACTATTATATTTGAAAAGTACTGTTATTCTGCCCTGATGGAAGAGTCATAGGTCTGAATTTGCTAAAAACAGCTGAGTTAATATTTTATAATAAAAAAATTATAGATTCAAATCTATAACCATCTCATTCTGTGGCTTCATAGATAAAACAACTGACTTATTCAGTAGAATTTGCAAAATAGCCAGTTTTTAGTATCTTCTTCCTTTTAGTTATTTTTATGCAATTTTAAATAGAAATAAACAATAAATCCATCATCAACCAAAAAAAGTTATGAAGTCTTATTTTTAATTAGCACAGAATTATAAAACTATGTGTACAAATGTTTAATAATCTCCCCAAAGCAAACATCTGTAATCCAATTACTGTTTAATGTGTTAAATATTATAACAATTTTAAACTGACATATTAAATATTAAAGTATGCAATATTAAATACTGTGACAGATTTCTAAGGTTTACATACTAATCTGAATGTTCTGGCACAAAAAACAATAAAAAATACAAGCTTAAGTTTTTAAAAAATATAATTGAGACAAGCTTTACTACTAATGCTTAATCTTGATTTAATGTTTCAGTCTTTATAAAATTAAGAGCAGGTAAAAAAAAATTCTGAACCATAAATAATATTCATTTACACCAAAAGCAAAAATAATCTAGCTTATTATACACATTAAAAAAAATCACTAAAAAAGAGTTGTTACTCATTACTAATATTTTAGAATTTTAATATTTCAAAATACTATTATGATTTTAAAATTACTTTCTGGATAATGCACACAAGTAAAATATTTCCTAGACAGCATATTATTATTTTTCCTTTTTTTTTTTTTTAAACAAATGCCCACAAATCATTTTCAAAATAAAACCTCATATGGTAATGTATTATTCTGAACAATGTATTAATCTGAAGAAATGGGTTATGCCTATAGTTTTAAGGCCCATATAAGGTTTTCTGTTTCTCACTGGAGAACATTTCATAAACTAAATGTAAGTTATTGTAGAAAATACTTTGAAAAATTGTTCATAAATACCTGTGCTGAGAAAAATTTGGTATTTCAAACGTATCAATAATTTATTTCATTTTGGAAAATGTTGTTAGGGACAGAAGAACCAACCAGTAATAGCCAACCCTCAACTCTCATTGCACAGTTAGTCTTCTCCTGAAACGCTTAATGTTCTGGAAGATGTCTTTTGTCCATCAGTATAATATAAACCCTATCAAATAGATCAAATATTAGATATCTCACTGCTTGTGAATGAAAGAGGCACTAAAGTGATTAAATATTACAGTAAGTAAAACTTCAGGAAAAAATCTTTCAAACTACATTTTATACATTACTTTATCATACTTATAAACTTTAGTAGAAATTACACCTTTTTGATCACCCTTACAATAACTATCAGTTATTAGGGAAAAGTAGACACTTTTCTAGCCCCTTCTTTGCTATTGTTTGTCATTTCTGCTTTTGACACGTTTGCCCACAAAACCCATTCTAACTTGATTTTTAAATTACCACTGAGATATCTGCCTGGGGAAGGGGGGACACACCTCATCAATAAAGTTCTTGCACGGTGAATATTTGTATATCTAGCCCTGACTTGTACCCCTCAAAAAATTAAAAAAGTAAAACAAAAAGGGAAAAAAATTGTCACCAAGAAACTTGAAAACTTAGATATAATTTTTAAATGCTGGCTAAAGGCCAAAAACCTCTCAAGTCACAGCCTGAACAAGTTATACAGAAGGTGAGGAAAGGGAAAGTTGCATTTAGACTCTTCAAATGCATCATTTAATTTAATTCTCTTGACAACCCTATGGGGTAGCATCACATCCAGTGAGACTGACAGCAACTAAATGATTTAATTGAGAGCACAACCTCACTAAATGACATGGACAGAGATCAGCATTCATGTTTTCTGGTACTATGTTCCAAATAAAGTGCATCAGACTGTAACCATGATTTTTGTAGCTCGGGGACCATATCTAGATGGTTTTCCCTATGGCAGAGGTTGCCATAAAGTTCTTCCTGCACTTTCACTTGGAACTTAATCTCTTTCTACAATTAATACTGCAATGAAGTTTGAACTCTCTTTGGTATATACATGTGTGTACAAACTACATGTTTTCTGTTCTTGAAGTCTGAAAGTAAATAGCTGGTTATGAACCTTACATGTTAGGCCAAGCATGGTGGCTCGTGCCTGTAATCCTAGCACTTTGGAAGGCTGAGGTGGGAAGATCATTTGAGCCCAGGAGTTGGAGACCGGCCTGGGCAACATAGTGTGACCCCCTCCTTATTAAAAATAAAAAATCAAAAAATTAGCTGTGCGTGGTGGCGCATCCTTGTAATTTCAGCTACTTGAGAAGCTGAGGTGAAAGGATCATCTAAGCCCAGGAAGTCGAGGCTGTGGGGACCCGGGATGCACTCCAGCCTGGGCAAGAGAATGAGATACCTGACTCAAAAAAAAAAAAAAAGAATTTTACATGCTAAACCCAACTTTTATGAGGTTATACATATACAGGCATATTTCTATGCCATTCTTGCCTTTGCTAAGTAAATAAAACTTGAGTGTCTTTACAAATTCTAGGGAGCTTAAAATAATAATTTTTATAAGATACAAAATAATGTGAATAACTTTACCTATTCCATAAATAGATTTTTTTTAAAGAAGAATTTTTTTACCCAAGGAGTTGAAAATACTGATTTAGCAAACCCTGATCAGAACACATTAAAAGTAAAATGTTTTGCTTTGAAAATAATCCTATAAATTATAATGATTTGTTACACTCTGCATCTCCCCTGCCATCACTCTGAAAGAAATACTTTATTTCTGTTTTTAAAACCTTGCTTTGGGGGCTACTCAACATTAATTCTTGGAAAAATACCAAAAAAAAGTCATGGTTTAAAAAAAATTGTTTTAATAAGATGCAAGATTGGTTTTTACCAAAGTTAACAAACCTTTATTAAGGGCTCAGAATTCATTTATATCTGCATTTAATCATCAATTTAATTTTTATAATCATATAACCAATATGTAAAATACAAATTTAAATCCCAAATGACTATTCTTACATAAATTCAGGGCATTTATAAGTTTTACATAAAATATATATCAATTTTGAACAAAAATTTCATCTAGTAAGTATTCTTATAAGGCCAGTAACCTAAATAACACAGAAACTAGGAACTAGACACTCCGGCCTATGCCTTTCTTTTCACGTGCAAAAGGAAACACATACACACACACATTTACACATGAGCCTCAGAAACCTGAACAGCACTCCATGCTCGAGAAGGGACTCTGCTCCTATTCTGCAACCTCCTCAAACATTCACATCACTCTTGCAAAAAGGACCATTTCTAGAATATGTATGGTGAAGCTTGACACACCTATCAGGCAGTTTAAAGAAAGGCAATGATTTCAAGTAAAAACATTGAGATATCTGATTAAGGTGAAAAATAATTTATTTTACTTTTGCCATACCAGGAAAACAAAGCAGCCCTTTTATGTCACCACTCATTAAAAGGGCATTACAAAACATTAACATAATGTAGTAGCCCAAGTTTTCTTTCAGGCATTTTCAAAGGGCATCTCAGACCCACAATATTTCCTACTGAGTGTGCAAGAAAGCAGAGCTGCAAAATGATTAGTAAGGCAAGATAATAACACCTCCCTTTTTATTTGAACATGAGTATTCCATGTTTTGGAGATAATCTAAATTTAACATTCATAGATATGCAGTATTTAAGGGTTTGTTAGGTAGGATATCAGCATACTATCAGCAATCTTAGGTTTTATGCTAGTTTCAAGCAATTGATTTCTAACGCACACAACATAGTTTGATAGTATATATTTTAAAAGTTGGCCTGAATTTCGCCCTCAAATGCACAAAAAGAATTTTCTATACACCATCTCAAAACAGTCTTTGGCCTTGCTGAATAATTATAGAGCTGCTATTTTACTGTGAAGCAAAATAAGCCTTCAAGTGTCCCTTACTTGATCTTAGAAGGTCAAATTCTCTGTCCAACAGTTCCTCTTCTGTTAACTTGGAGAAATTATCCTCTCCAAAAGGATTCCACCTTGACATATCAGGTGGGTTACTGATGTTCTTCTGATTTGTAAAATTTGCAACAGCCTCTTTATCAGCAACTAATCTAAAGTAACAATTGAGAGAAAAAAAGAAGAAAATTAGAATTAAGAAAAAGATACAGTGTACTCGTTCATACTTTACAAATGCTTAGAAAGTCAGATCATCTTATTATGATGGAGAAGGCAGACGAAGGCACAGGATGGACAGAGAAAACTTGTGAAATCCAAATGCCCTCCACGAGACACATTAGCACCACAATTATCCATATCAGGGACACTAGTTGTGTGTCCTTAAGAAAGCTGCTTAACCTCTCTCTGGCCCAGTTTCCTCCTCTGTAAAAAAGAAGTGACAGTATTCACCTAATAGGATGATTGCGAAGATTAAATGATTTAATACACATAAAACAAAGAGAACAGTATCTAGTTAAAAAAAAAAAAAGCACTCAATAAATATTAACTATCACAGTGAACAAGCCTTCAAGTGGACATCAACTACCATATCAAGAAGTAACCTCCAAAATCACTACTGAATACAGTGAGTGCATGTACTAGTTATGTTGTGACACCATAATTTTCCTTTTGACAAAGGCACTCCCTATATACAGCTACTAGCAAAAGATTAATTGCTAGGACTGACTGCTTTACAAATTAGCTAAAGTTACATGAGAGTTATTTTGTGTATAATAAAGTACTCATGATGTTTAATGTATCTGGAGCCTGAGCTCACCAGTTCTACAGAAATTATCTTATAGTCTCTTGATTTTTAAGAAAAGTTGAGAGTCTAGACTTCTTAACCAAGATTCCCTGGTACGACCTCCTTAGCCCAGCCCAGAGAGAGTCACGTGCTGCTTCAGAAAGTTTCAGTCAACACAGACCACACACATAACGTAGTCCCATGACATGACAACAGAGCGAAATGTTGCAGCTACTGCCAACAGCATAGCACAACACATTGTTCACGTGTCTGTGATGATGCTGGTGTTAACTTGGCCACCAGTTGTACAGAAAAGTACAGCAACTCAGTACTTATAGTGATGATACCTGGTATCACTATACAAACATATATATATCACAACGACTATGTTGCTGGTTACGTATTTACCAAACTATACTTTTCATAGTTATTTTATTTATTTTTTTGAGTTGAGGTCTCATTCTGTTACCCAGGCTGGAGTGTGGTGACACAATCATGGCTCACCACAGCCCTGACCTCCTGGATTAAGGCAATCCTTCTACCTCAGTCTCCTGAGTAACTGGGACTACAAGCGTGCACCACCACATCTGGCTAATTTTTTAATTTTTTGCAGAGACAAGGTTCTCCCTATGCTGCCCAGGCTTGTCTTGAACTCCTGGACACACCTCGGCATCCCAAAGTGCTGGGATCATAGGCATGAGCCACCATGCCCGACCTACAGTTATTTTAGAGTATACTTCTTCTACTTATAAAAAAAAAAGTGAACTGTGAGACAGTCTGAGGCAAGTCCTTCAGGAGGTATTCCAGAAGAACGTGTTGTTATCATAGGAGATGACAGCTCCATTCATATTACTATCCTGAAGACCTTCCAGTGGGAGAAGGTATGGAGGTGGAAGACAATGATGTTGATGATCCTCCCCTGTATAGGCCCCGGTTCATATGTGTGTTTGTGTCTTAGTTTTAAGCAAAAAAGTTTGAAAGTAAAATAAAAATAAAGAATTTTAAAAGTAGAAAAAAGTTTACAGAATAAGGATATAAAGAAAACAGTTTTGTACAGCTGAACAATGTGTTTGTGTTTTAAGCTAAATATTATTACAAAAGACTCAAAAGGTCTACAAAGTTAAAAAGTTATAAGTTAAGGCTAACTTATTATTGAAGAAAATAGTTTTATAAATTTAATGCAGCCTAAGTGTACAGTGTTTATGAAGTCTATAGTAGTGTACAGTGATGTCCTAGGCTTTCAAATTCACCCACCGATCACTCACTGACTCATCCAAAACTCCACTCACAGTAAAAGCCCTATGCAGGTGGACCATTTTTAATCTTTTATACTGTATTCTTTCTACCTTTTCTATGACTAGATATGCTGTGGTACACAAATAGCATGGTGCTACCACTGCGTACAGCATTCAGTATAGCACCACAGCATACAGGTTTGCAGCCTAGGAGCAACAAGCTGCTGAGGCGTGTAGCAAGTTTGGGTAAGTGCGCTCTAGGGTGCTCAAACAATGAAACTGCCTGGCAACACATTTCTCACCATGTAGCCCTGTTACTAAGCTACACATGAATCACAGCACATGAACAAGACAATATAAGATGCTGCCAAGTGCCCTTTATACTCATATCCAGATCCTCTAACACTGGTTACAGAAGGAGAATCTGGATGTTCAAAATACTATCTCAAAATACAATTCCATTTACAACCCATTCAAGAATGCATCAACTGCCAACATGTGACAGAATACCATTTCTAATTCTGAAACTGTCTTCATAGACTTCCAGAGTCCTTAAAACACAGATGAGAGAAGGTAAAACTCAGCAAGAGATGGGCACCTATCAATGATCCCTTTCAGAACTTTCTGATTTCCCACCTAAATCACCCTCTGGCCAGTCCTGAAATGAATTTATGGATTCTTCTTGGTAGACTACAATTCAACTGGGTATCACCTTAACCTACAGTTTAAACAGGTATTAAAATACTACGTCTACAAGTTCTGACATGCCTTTCCTCAAAGAGTAAAACCTAATTTGACTGCCCTTGAATCCATATAGGCTAGATCTAGTGACTCAATTCTAACAAATGAAATATGGCAAAAGCGCCAGCATGTGACTTCTGATAGTAGGTCATAAAAAGCTATTTCAGATTTCCTCCTTGCTCTCTCTCTTAGATCAATCACTGTGGGAGAAACCAGAATCAATGATTCCTTGTTCATAACAGTCTTTGCCTTGCCAAAGAGTAAACTCAAGCAGCCTTTTAAAGAAATTCGTGTCAGGGGACTAGGCCTCCTGCCCAAAGCCATATGGATGGGCTGCCGTGTAAACAGGTCCTCCAGAGCCAGCCAAGCCTTCAGAGGACTGCAGACTCCGCCTCAGCAGACATGACCCAGGTAAGCCTTCAGAGAACGACAGACCCTGCCTCAGACATGACCCAGCCAGCCTTCAGAGGACTGCAGACCCCACCACAGCAGACAGAACCCAGCCAATCCACTCAATGTCTGCTCCAAAGAAAACGTGCACGATAGTAACAAATATGTATCATTGTCTTCAACCACAAAATGTTGGAATAATGTATTAGGCAGCAACAGATAACTGATACAGCAGGGCAATTACACCATAAGAAGTTAAGATAAGCCGGGCTCGGTGGCTCAGCCTGTAATCCCGCGCCTTTGGGAGGCTGAGGTGAGTGGATTGCCTGAGCCCATGGGTTTGAGATCCGCCTGGGCAGGCGAGACCTCATCTCTACAATAAATCAAAAAATTAGCCGGGTGTGGCAGCGTGCGCCTGTAGTTCCAGTTACTTGGAAGGCTGAGGCGGAAGGATCACTGGAGCCTAGCAGGTCGAGGCTGCGGTGGCCGGGAGCATGACACTGCCCTCCAGTCTGGGTGACAGAGTGAGACTCCAACTCAAAAAAAAAAAAAAAGAGGAAGTTAAGATAATGTATGCATAGAGGATATTTATTTTAACTATTCCTGGGACACAACACAGTAATACTCTTCAATATTCATACTAAAGAAAAATTAGCACAGCAAAAGAGTAGAAATTTGAGCAAATTGGAGGGGAAAAAAAAGAATCATCCTAAGTCAGTGACTTTCTAAGGAATGACTTGGTTTTTTTTTTAAATGTTCTCATATAGCCCCTGTACTTAAGAGACATAATAATCCCAGTTTTTATCTTCTACTGACTTAGTCATGAGCAAGATTTATTATGGAGCTCTTTATAAATTGTCATAGAAGATGTGACACTCAACATATAATCTGATATTAAATAGGTATAATATTAGCAAAGTAGCACTGAGGCACTGAGGCACCATTGTGGCTGAAGCAACAATCCCATACAAAGTTCTACACTCTTAACATTCAGTAGCCATGTGTACAACTGTTTCCACCATATCTCTAAAAAAGATGTAACTTCACAGGAATAAAACAAATCTTACACACTTTTACAGATACCCAACTCAATTCCTAACCTGAGATATGCAAAATGATTTTGGTGATAAACTAATTTTTTTATTTTAACATTTACAGAGAAATTGGGGGGGGGAGTACTTATACGTCAAACTTTAATTTATGGAGTAAATGTAATTCAACAAGGTATCTCCTTAAACTATGGTTTAAACTGGTATTAAAATATATCTACAAGTTCTCTGACATGCCTCCCTGCAAAGGGTGAAACTAATTTCTTGAATAGTATCATCACAGATGAAAATAAAGCAGGCAGTGCCCCAGTAATTCACATGAGTTATAGGCATCATCACATTGCAAGCCTGTGTGTGCCTCAAATCTTTGGACATTATTCAACTTTCTTTACAAGTAATCAGAAGTTTAGATAGATTTCCACTTCATCATTCCATTCTCAGTAACACAACTTTGCTTTCAGAAGACAACAGGCTTTTAGAATACAAAGTATGCATAAATATATATGCTATGTGAGAGAAAACAGTTTAGTATATTTTGCATTTTCCAATTAAATTACACTAGAATTAATTTTTTTTTTTTTTTTGAGTTGGAGTCTCACTCTGTCACCCAGACTGGAGTGCAGTGGCCGCTCCTGGCCACTGCAGCCTCGACCTGCTGGATTCTGGCGATCCTTCTGCCTCAGCCTTCCAAGTAGCCAGAACTACAGGCGGACGCTTCCACGCCTGGCTAATTTTTTTGATTTATTATAGAGATGAGGTCTCGCCAAGTTGCCCAGGCGGGTCTTGAACCCGCAGGTTCAAGCAATCCACTCATCTCAGCCTCCCAAAGCACAGGATTACAGGCTGAGCCACCGAGCCCGGCAAAATATTTTTTATGTCAACATCAAACATTAAAAAAAATCAATTGTCCAATTAATATAATAGCCTCATTAGTGTCTTAAACAACATCAAACAGAATATCCTATTTTTAATAAGGAAAAGTATTCCATTCTTATCACTGAAGGACTTATTTTCAAAAGTCTTTTTTTTTTGCAAATTTATTAGATTACTACTTATATTTCATAGTTCACATTTTAGTGGCTCTAATTTGTTTTAAATGTATAACATATGTCTTAATTTTATTACTTACAATAGTGCTATTAACTTATTAAACAAAAAAGTGCTATGTGGATAAAGCAAAAAATCATAACTAGAGTAGGTAAATGACAGAGCCTGGCAGGTACTGACCTGAATTTAGTAGATGACAGAGACTGTCAGGCACTGACCTGGACCTGGTAGGTGACAGAGCATGGCAGGTTTTGACCTGGACATGGTAGATGACAGAGTCTGACATGGTAGATGACAGAGTCTAGCCCACAGTTCTGCTCTCCATCTACACAAATTAGGCCTAATTCACACACCCCACTTTTTGCTTTAGAAAAGCACTTCAGTAAATCAGTTTGTTCTTCTGTTCCCCCTCCTACCTGTCCCAAACTCACTCTCTCACCCTCTCTCTCTCAATCTCTCTCGAACACACACACACACACACACACACACACACTGTGAGGGGGTCTACAGCAGCCTGCATACTTGCATACTTTAATTCTCTTTTGAGATGCACAGGGTACAAGTATGCTAAATGCTACAAGTAAATCCTGAAATAGCATTGAATAAGAACTTTAGTGTTCTGATTATCAAAGTCTAACAGCCACTTCCTTTAAAAACATTGGAAGGCATTCATAATTATTCTTAATTACAAGATCCTAAAGCACCTGCCATTTCATATGAAAGTTGGAGAAAATTTGTATCAGTTCTTTAATTTACTGTAATGCTTTCTCTTTTTTTTGTAATTTTTTATTTTAAAGATAGGGGATACAACTCAGGGTTAGGTATACAAATGTTCATGCAGGTACCCTTGATGAGATGTGCCCCCCCAACGCACCCCCAGCAGTTTCCCTCAATTGCCAATCCCTTTCTTACACTATTATGATAATTGTTCAAGGTCTGCATATGAGTGAGAACATATGGTACTCTGTTCTTTGTTTCTGTGATAGATCGCTGAGTATGACAGACTCTAAATCCATCCAAGTTGCTGCGAAGCCCATATGTTTGCCCTTCTTTATGGCTGCAAAATATTCCATTGTGTTATTATGTACCACATTTTTTTATCCAGTCCAGCTTCGATGGGCAGCACGGTTGGGTCCATGTTTTTGCTATTGTGACTAGAGCTACAACAAACATAAGTGTGGAGGTATCTTTTTTGTAGAATGATTTGAGTTCCTCCAGGTATCTCCAATAGGGGAATTGTTGGCTCATATAGAAGGTCAATTTCTAGTTCCTTCAGAAATCGCCACACTTTCTTCCAAAGAGGTTGTACTAGTCTGCATTCCCACTAGCAGTGTAATAGTATTCCTTTTTCTCCAAATCCTCACCAGCATCTGTTGTTGCTTATTTTATTAATGATGGTCATTCTTCCAGGGGTTAGGTGATATCTCAATGTGGTTTTGATTTGCATTTCTCTGATGGCTAGTGAGGTTGAGCACTTTTTCATATGTCTGTTGGCTGCACGTATATCTTCTTTTGAGAAGTATCTATTCATGTCTTTTGACCACTTTTTAATGGGACTATTTGTTTTATTCCTTTCAGCACATTTGAGTTCCTTGTAGATCCTAGATGTTAGGCCTTTGCCAGATAGACAGTTGGAAAATAGGTTTTCCCATTCTGTGGGCTGTCTCCCCACTCTCTCGATGGTTTCTTTTGCTTTGCAGAAGTTTTTCAGTTTGAGGAAGTCTCACTTGTCTATCTTATCTCTTAAGGCATGGGCACTTGGGGTTTTGATTAGAAATTGGTTGCCAGTTCCAATTTTCATAAGGGTGTCTCCTGCATTTTCTAAGATGCTTACAGTTTGAGGTTTTACATTTAGGTCTTTGAACCACTTAGAGTTGATTTCTGTGTATGGTAATAAGTAGGGGTCCTGTTTAAATCTTTTGCATGTGATCAGCCAGTTTTTCCAGCACCATTTACTGAATAGGTTCTCTTCTTCTCAGTGGTTGTTGTTGGAGGCTTTGTCAAAGAGGAGTTGGTTGAAAAATTGAGGCTTCTGGAATCTGTATCCTGTTCCATTGGTCTGTATGCCTGTTCTTGTACCAATACCAGGCTGTTTTGATTATTGTAGCCTTATAGTAAAGTTTGAAGTCTGGAAGAGTGATACCTCCTACTTTGTTTTTTTTTTTTTTTTGCTAAGGATTGTTTTGGCTATTTGTGGTCATTTATGTCTCCATATGAATTTTTGTACTGTCATTTCCAGATCTGAGAAGAATGATGTTGGTAATTTAATGGGTATTTTGTTGAATCTGTAGATTACCTTTGGTAGGATGGACATCTTAACAGTGTTGATTCTTCCTATCCATGAGCATGGAATATTTTTCCATTTGTTTGTGTCTTCTTGGATTCCTTTGAGAAGTGTTTTGTAGTTCTCATGTAAAGGTCTTTCACTACTCTGGTTAGAAAGATGCTGAGGTATTTCTTTTTTGGGGGTGGCTATTGTGGATGGGATTGTGCTTTTTAATTGATTCTCCACCTGCTTGTTGTTGGTGTATAAGAATGCAACTGTCTTTTGCACTGTAATGCTTTCAATATCAATTATCCATGAAAAATAACTACACACAACAATGTATATGAATTGCCAAAATATGCCATTTCCCAACTATGTTATGGTAACAGTAAGTCTGCTGTATCATGTCATCTTAAAAATGAACCAGATGGGCTGGGCACAGTGCCTGAAATCCTAGCACTTTGGGAGGCAGATTGCTGGATCCCAGGAATTTAATACCAGCCTGGGTAATATAGTGAAACCTTGTCTCTACAAAAAAATCAAAAAATTAGCCAGGCGTGGTGGCGTGCACCTATAGTTCCAGCTACTTGGGAAGCTGAGGTGGAAGGATCACCTGAGTTCAGAAGGCAGAGGCTGCAGTGAACCATGATCATCATGATCATGCCACTGTACTCCAACCAGCATGACAGAATGAGACCCTGATATACACACACAAAAAAAAAACAAAATTAACCAGAAGATATATTTTTAAATGTTTGTACCTGTTTAAATAAAACAAAACTGCACAATTTTTATAAATAAATTATCAAATTAATTCTCTAACATGTAAGCAGAAAAAGTTAACTTTTATACAAGGATTTCTTTTTAACTATAAAATTAGGGTTTTGTTTCTACTTAAATTCCATAAAAGGTCAGGTTCAGTGGCTCAGCTTGTAATCCCAGCACTTTGGGAGGCCAAGGTGAATGGATTGCCTGAGCCTGCAGGCTCGAGACCCACCTGGGCAACTTGGCAAGACTTCATCTCTACAATAAATCAAAATTAGTCAGGCGTGGTAGCATATGCCTGTAGTTCGAGCTACTTGGAAGGCTGAGGCGGAAGGATTGCCAGAGCCCAGCAGGTCGAGGCTGCAGTGGCCGGGAGCAGCCACTGCACTCCAGTCTGAGTGACAGACAACTCAAAAAAAAAAAAAAATCAAAAAATATGCCTTTACATACAAGCCAATAATTTCCTTAGCCCTAAAGACTGCTATATATTACTAAGTCATGCCTGCAAATAGCAGTTAGCAGGATTAATGAATGGGAATGAAAGGAGAAGGAGACACAGGGGCCAGAAGAGAGGACTCAGGTGAAAGAGGGGGTTCTACAGAAAGACAGATTCCAGAGCAATGCGAGAGCCACTGATTGACCCCTCCACAGCTATAGTCACAGGTACTTTTACAGTCATTTCCTCTATGTTCCCTAAAAATATACTTGCCGATTGGAACTACACGAGGAGCCCATGATGGTTCCAACCTGAGCTGGAAGCGATGATGCGTAGGAAACTAAAGCTGGTGAGAACTCTTGTGGGGAGGTGAGATACTCAGGCGATGCCTGCTGCTGCGGTGGCTGACACTGAGCAAGCAACTGCTGCTGTAGGAAGGACTGCTGGTACTGCTGCATCTGAAACAGGAAGTGACATCACACAAACAACACATCAACTCACTCCTGTGTACTATGTTCCTTCCTCTCACATTGGTGACAAAATCAGAAACCTAAGACAACTATCTGTTATAAAAAAACTACAGCAAAAAGAAATAAATCTACTTAAAAAGTTACAGACCAGGCATGATGGCTCATGTCTGTAATCCTGCACTTTGGGAGGAGGAGGCAAGAAGATTGTCTGAGCCCAGGGGTTCAATAAACTTGAACTGGGAAACTTGGTGAGACCTAATCCCTACAACAAATCAAAAAATCAGCTGAGCATGGTGGCATGGGAGGCTGAGATGGAAAGGTCACCTAAACCCAAGGAGGTCGAAGCTATGGTGTCGTGAGCATGCCACTGCACTCCAGCCTAGGGGACAGAGTGAGACTCCAACTCAAAAAAAAAAACTTGTGAGGCTTAGTCACTTGGTCAGATTCAAAAATCCTTCTTTAAATATTCTTTAAAAGACAGAGTAGTTTAAAGTCACTGGTACAGTGGCTGCTGTAAAAAAAAAGGTCAAATTATTCTCTGAAGCAAACGCACTTTCCCTTTGGATCTGATTTTTTTTTTAATTCAACAGATATCTGCTGAATGAAAAAGACATATGACAAAAGATTATGGGTAAGAGATCATTTCCCTTATCCTATTAGATAAAAGAAGTATGTTATTAGTCATTTGCTATATGCTATATCCAGGTGCCAAAGCTCAGTGCAATTTAAAGCTGCTTGAGAATATGACTGGCTTTGATAAAACATGTCCATTAACGTCCTTGAACTGATTCTAAATTAATGATTCCTAATAATACCATACATACTGTGAATTATAGCACTATAATGTATATTCAGAGAAATCGCAAGAAATTATTTAACAGTTACCATTGCAGGATACTGTGACGCAGAAGGTTGTGGCTGATATACTGAATGCATTAACAACTGCTGCTGAAGCATCTGCTGCTGCACTGCATGTTGATACTACAATGAGAAGAGCAAATTTAGCAATGTCATTCATGTCTTTGTTGTGCCCGATCTTTTTTAGAGTATTGATCTTACCATAACAGTGACTTGGGAAATCAGTAGCCCCAACACCAGCATAAACACAGCTATAGTCTTACATGACTGTGATGAATATATGCTTATCAGAATTGGTTTCAGAATCATCAGCAAACCATAACAGAGATTCAACTACAACCATGTTCAGCACAGTTTAAGAATGTCCAGAAGAAAGCAACACACAACACACAAACACACTGGCCACCTCTCCCTAGCTGATGAGGATCCCAAAGTGGCTTCTGATCAAGACCCATGACAGTAAGTCCCCACTCTGCTCTGCCTCCCCTCCCATGGAGCCTCCTAGGCATCCTGGACACACTCACTGACTCCCTTCCACTCCATCAATGAAAGCCAGAGGAAGGTGACATGCACAGAATGCCCATCACACTTCAGGAAATGATCAAAGGATGATGGTAACAGCAGTTAAATGTAAAACAGCTGAGTGAAATTAGAAACTTGCAGGTTCTGATGGGACACAAAACACAGTAGAACTTAAGTTCATCTTGTTATGCTGCTTTCAACTCCAAATACTGCCCCTCACACCCCCATACCCCATGTCAACCCAGGCAAAAAAATGAAAAACAAAAATTAAAAATAAAAATCTAAGAAAAATGTTATTTCTGAAGAGCCTAATATCATTTTTCCACCAATAGCATTATTAGTCTATGGACTTAAAATGCAACCTCAAAAGATTATATTCATTATAAACTGCAGTGCTCATTCATGACTATCCAACGTCTAGATGAATATTCCTTTCTTCATAAGGCCACGATGCAACCTGTTTTAACAGAGTACTCTTAAGTACCTCACTGACTGCAAATTAAAGACACAGTCCTTAGTGATCAGGGAAATTGGAAAAAATGTGTACTTGGATCTAGAGCTCAAGGTGTCCATGGTATAAAGGACTTCACTGAAATTCAATTGACACATCAAGTCCACACTACTTCCATGTCCAAAGAAGCATGAAACCACCTGCTGCACATAAGTGTCCCGGAGTGGCGGTGGCGGTGGTGGCGGTGGTGGCGGCGGTGGCTGCTGCTGCTGCTGCTGCTGCTGAGAGTGGCGGTGCTGGGAGTGGAGCTGCTGCAGCCTCCAGTCCCCCTGCTGTAGCTGCTGGAGTACACGATGCTGCTGGGGCGGCTGTTGAGGGGGGCCTTGGCCCAGAAAGACTTCAGGGCCATTTCCAGGTCTCAGTGCCCCTAGGAGAGGCCCAAAGCCATGCATTAACACACTAATGTTTCCAAAACACACACTTAAATAATCATTTACCCAAGGCACTCATATCCTTACTTATAATAGAAACCCTCCCACATGCGCACAGTCTAAAGGGATGTACTGTAATTTAAGCACCCAGAAAACTTAATTTTGTCAGCTATAACTCTGAACAAGTCCACATCTTAGAGACATGTCATGTTTCCCCATCAACACACCAGCCATGTCGGTTTGCTCCATATTTCTCAACAATGAATATGTAGCTTTACCCATGTGACTCTCAGCCTTGAATACCACTGTCTACCTTCTTATCCTTTCAATTTTATCTCACATTTCTCTTCTTTGTTCCTTCATCTAACACTTCCAGTCAGTTTATTATGTTTCAGTCTGTCTTGTACATATTAATGGTTTGTGTGGATTTTCTAACCAGGGACCCTGAAAGAAAGGGTGATGACTTGTTCATCTCTTAGCATCCCAAAGAACCCATTATATCACAGATGTTCGGTAAATGCTCACTGCAGTCAGTCTATTAACACTGTCTCCTAAGTGGATATTTATTTATAAGCTCCATAAATTTTACCCTAGGCAAATCCTATGAATAAGTTTTTGAAATACCTAAAAAGATATACACAACATCAAAAAGAGGAAATGCAATACACTAAATACACTATAATTTCTAAACTCCCTTTCAATGACCTATCCTAAATTCAAAAAGTGGAATAAGAGTCTAAAGAGTGGGAGAAGAATTCTTTTTTCATCAAGGGTAGTATCTCCAAACCTCTTCAGGCCCAAGTACAACAGCTCTCTGTAAATAGTTTTATGACTATTTCTAACTCTTATAATTATAAAAGAATGCATGCTCATTTTAATTATTCTTAAAAATATTTGTGAGAATATAAGGTAAAAACATGAAATCACCATTTCACCACATAGATGTGACTATAATTGGCCTTTTAAGCATTTTTCTTTCTAGTTGGAAGAGTATCAAAATAATCAAAATTCATTTCCCTCGAAATTTTTATTGTGTTAATTGACAAATAATAATTGTACATATCTATGGGATACATATTGATGTTTTGATACAGTGAGCAAATAAGGGTAATTAGTATATTCAGCATCTCAAACATCATTTTTTTGGTATTGGGAATACTCTATATCTTCCTTCTAGCTATCTGAAACTATGTGATATATGATTGTTAACTAGAGTCATCCTTAAGTGCTATATAGAACAAGGGTCACCAATCCCCAGGATTGCAGACCGATAGCACAGCAGGAGGTGAGCAGCAGCAAGTGAGCAGAGCTTCATCTGTATTGACAGCCACTCCCCATCATTTGCATTACCACCTGAGCTCTGCCTCCTATCAGATCAGTGGCAGCACTAGATTCTCATAGAAGCATGAACCCTATTGTGACCTATGCAAGGGATTTAGGTTGCACGCTCCTTATGATATTCTAATGCCTGGTGATAACCTCCCTGCCCCTCATCTGTCTGTAGAAAAATTGTTTTCCAAGAAACTGGCCAAAAAGGTTGAGGACCTCTAGGAGAGAACAACAGGACTTATTCTTTCTAATCAGCTGTAGCTTTGTATCCTTTAACAAATTTCAACCTATCCCTCACTTTCCCCTACCCTTCCCATCCTCTAGTGACCTCTGTCCTTTTGAAAATTTAAAAAGAATCCCTATATAAATAGGTTAAAGAACTCATATCTAGAATTTTTTTAAAACTTATTAAAAATATGATGATTCAAGTACAACATATCAAAATCTGTGGGGCAAAAAGCTGGTGGTACTCAAGAAGACATGTTTTAACCTTAAATGTGTATGTTATATACTAGGAAGACTGAACAAAAAAACTCAAAGAAAGTAGAAGGAATACATTAATAATGATAAGGATATAAATTAATGAAATAGTGAAATAAGGAACAACACAGAGTTAATCAATAAAACCAAAAACTGGCTACTGGTTCTTTGAAAAGAACAATGAAAGAGATAAATCTCCAGGTAAGTCACACCAAGAAAAAACAGTGACGATACACATAAACATTAGAAAGGAGGGAGACAACACTACAGACATGAACAGGTGAAATGGGAATTAAACACAGTTCAGATTCCCATTATCCTCTACAGAATACTCCTCCCACTGCTGGACCTGATCACACAAAAGTATGTAGCAATGTGCTAGGTAAAACAAAAATAACATTATCTTTCCTGAGCAGAACTTGATAGTAATAACAGTAGTTAATAAATAACATTTCTTAAGGGAATACTACCAGGTCTTACATTAAGCAGCCATTTAATCCTCCCAATAATCCTATAAGATTAGATATGGTACCTATAAGGTACTAGTATTTTTACACGATAAAGTACTAAAAAGTGGGAGCAACAAGACTCCAATCAAGTTTATGAGACTCAATGTGACTCTTAAACACTGGAGTATCCTAAATAAAAATATTTTAACATTAAAACAAGACAAGGTAGGGGGCAGTAGCTCATGCCTGTAATCCCCACACTCTGTGAAGCGGAGATGGGAGAATTGCTAAGCCCTGGAGTTCGAGAACATTAAAATACGACAGATTTATTATGAAATAAAGTACAAAACAAGGTTTCCTTGAAGTGGGTCTTCCTACAATACTGAAGACCCTTGAAAGAGTAAGTTTTTTCTCTAATATTAGGGATATGTCTTTGGAGGAAATGTTTTTAAGTACACACTGTATCATAATGCTTAGAAGATGTTTCAAATTTTTTAAAAAACAATTTTTCTCAGATAAAAAGACAGTTTTTTTGTTGCAACGTCCATAATAACCAAGACTCTTGATTCTGTGCAAAGACATTCAACTTTGTAAGGCTTGGGTTTCAACTTCATCCTTTCCAATACAACACAAAATTTTTTATACTCTTGAAATTTATTACCAACCAAACTCTCCTAATGGACGACTCTAGGGATAAAAATTTGTATTTGAAGAGTCAAAGCAAATCACACAAATTATGTTGCAAAGTTTTTGTACCAAAATTTTATAATTATATACTGCCAGTAACTGTCCTTTCATATACAACTTTAGGAAAACAACTGAGTTTTTACACATCATTAGAAAGTTTTTAAAAGAATTATGCTACCTGCTATACAATATTAAGCTGTCATTAATTTATGTCCCTAGGAAATCAAGCCATAAAAGGTTTATTTACATTAACTATAGAGAGAATGAGGCTGGCAGGGCTCTATTACCTTTTGGTCTGTGATTGCCAAAGTCACCAGGTGCAGGGACTTTGACAGGTGTTGCTGAACTCTGAATAGTCAGCACACTGGGAGTGGCAGTAGTAGAGTTGGCCTTTGGTCTTTGTCTTGGTGCAATTGAGGTTTCTGTTGGTCCAATGGTATCTGTTATTCTACAACAGAAGAATACATTTTGTTCCAAATACTGGGATTATCTCTACTTTACTATTTGTTCTATAAAGCATCTAATTCAACAGATGAATTTTAATTATTATTGATGTTCACATTGGTCCTCTTGGAGTCCTCCTAAGTCTCATTCTCAAGTATTAATGTTTAATGAAGGGAAGCAAACAAATAAAAATAACTATTTTCCTTAAAACAGTATACTACAATTCAGTCAGTTATTGAAACTGGAAGAAAAATAATATAGTCCAAGAACATGCTCTTAAGGAGACAAAATGATATGGAAAGAAAACAAACAGAGACCTTCTCATAAGGTTTTGGACAATAATTCTTGAACTCGTCAGAGAAATAAGAACAAGAAACAACAAGAAATTAATCTGCCCTCCCTTGGACTCAGGGCAAGATAAGAGGGTGCCCTGAGGCATGTTAAACAAAAGAAGCCAAAACTTTCAGCAGGTGGCGCCACCTGCTCACAATCAACTCCATGAATCTTCAAGTTGGCTTCCTTGAACACTGAATGGACATCCCACTTGGACTTAGCTTAGGCCCAAGAAGTGCGTGGTTAAGTGGTTAGCACTGTTTTGAAATTAAGAGAAAATAAATACAATTTGAGAAGACACAGACTTTGGTTTTCTTTTTTAAAACAAAGCCAGGTAAATCTTTAACTTACATATTTATCAACTTTGCTTTCTATAAATTCAGTACAAAAACTCAAATATGTTTTTAGTAAGATCATATGTTCACCTGCCAACAGGATTTGCAATAAAATATTTTTACTAAGTTCTCTCACCATATTTTCAAGTGATTTAACTTTAAAATTTTACATACATGATTGACCAAGCACACATTTGCTGCATGTGTGCTTACAACTGCATAGATCTAGTTCTTTCCTAAGATCTGTACGTACCACAAGAGGGAGTCCTGTCAACAACTATCTTTCCAAGGAATGAAAAAGTGAAAGTTGAATAAAAAATTTTAGAGAATCACAGAAATATGTTGTATACATTATTTTCTTAAAATAATACTTATGCTTTAGATGGAATGATAAGAGTAAAAAAAAACTGAATAGACAATAAAAATCATATATATAATCAATTATATCTCATTTTAATGATTTTCAAGTATTTATTGACTTCAAATTATTGATGTGGCATTAAAACCAATGCTGTACTCGTTAAGTTCAAATAATTTGGGGAAGCACTGTATACAATCTTTCTGCTCTACTATCCATTTTTCATTAAATTCATAGCACAGGCCAGAGCTGATCGTGCCTTGTTCCTGGTCCACACTGTTGTGAATCTTTGGAGATTCACAACATCAATAAGCATAGCAGAAGCTCTAAAAGGCAGACTAAAAGACTGCAGACTTTGTTCAATCTACTGTATCCTAATTTATTTTACCAGTGTACCAATATCTGTTGTACATTTACTGATATCCAGCAAAACACCACACCACACCCTGTCTTCAAAGAATTTACAGTACACTTAGGAAAATAAGCCCCACATTGGTGGAAACATAAGCAAAATATAAGACAGTAGAAATAACCGGTGCCAAACTAATGCCGTCAGGAGCATCATGGAAAGGTAACAGTACCTTTAACTTAATCTGGCTAAAGAAAGCTTCAGGTAAAAACTGGGAATCAAAATGTTTTAATAAATTTTATCTCATTAGACAGTGGGAAAAAAAATTAGACCCATTCTACGTGAAGAAATGGGAGGAAAATGCCTAGACAAGTTAGGCAACATGAAGACTCAAAGTCAACTAGAATTAAAGACAGTGATTGCTGCACTAACCTGAGGCACAGCCTCACGGGAACTATAGTTACAACAGTCAAGAGCTGTTTGTTCTATTTCCCTTCTTTTCTTTCCTCCTCACCATTACCTGGACAGTCTTTCTAAAATTCAGACACTCTCTCCTACTTAAAGCCTTACAATATTTCATCAGCCAGGACAGCGATTCACAAAGTCTACACCTTTAAGACATATATCAGATAAATTTAAACAGTCCCAAGAGCAAATGCAAAGTCTGGCGAAGTAGAAGACGACTTTTAAGAAGTTTTAACAAAGAGCACCAATTGAAGGCAGAGCAGTTACGTGACACCTCTAAAAGCTTTTTGAAAACATATGAATAATGAACTTAGCTACTTGATTTCTCCACCCAAAATATGCCTTTTACATGAAGAAAATCTATTTAACATCAAGCTTTGTATACATTTAGATTTTTTCAAGATCTCACTGATATTATTCATGAAAAGTAAATTTATATTATTAACCAATAAATACAATTCTTATTTTTATTATACATAATATACAAATTTAACATATTATAAATAATGTAAATTTTAACAGCACTATTTCACTGGCTTATAATTACACAGCTATAACCTGTATTATAGTTAAAAGACAATCAAATCATTATTCTTGTTGAGCTGACTCATGCTTTTTATATCTGCACCTACCTTCTTAAAAATTTAATTATTGAAAAAGTATTTTAAAAACACAACTAATGATAAAATTCAACTGAGAGGTCCTACAATAATTCATAATTATCACTCAGTTATAACAGTGGATGCTAATTAAAGCTACGTTGCAGTCAAGACAGACAGGAGGTCATGCTAGGTGTCTGTAGGTTTGATGCAACTCAACTCCTTTGTCTTTTTCAAGATCATTTTGAATGCAAGTAAATCAAGACATTTTAAGTAATGTTGTTTTAAAGGAAGTAATTCCATTAAATGATACTTTAACAATTATTAACTATCATTAAATTATTTAATATCATTTGACAATTGTTAAGTGATATTTTAATCATTTATAAGTAAAAGATCATTTATAACACATCTCACAACCAAGTCTCAAATAGTAAGATGGCTTGGAAGGGTGGAAATTCACTGGCCTAAAGGCCCAAGTCTGATTTCCCAGCATGATATGAAGTTCTTGTGCCTGGTGCTCACATCCAGCTCCAGCTCTGCTTCCCACCACTCCTGCTTCAGTTCTGTACTTTCTCAAGAGCCATCCTTCTTGCCTGAATGGCTAGCCTGCTGCAGTTTCCCTCCGACTTTCCTGGACTGACCACCCAGCCTTCGGGAAAGAGCTCACCAACTCCCACCCAGGGAAACCCTTCTTCTTCCAGTCTTTCCCATCCTTCACACTCTGAGAGTGACCTGGTATCTGTCAGGTTGTAACTGATTATTTGTCAATTAAAATGTACACTCGTAAATAAAAACGTTGTTGTTCTTTATGTTTCCATTATCTATATCTAGCATACAAAAGGTACATGACAAATATATTTTCTGTATTTTATGTCAAATAAGACTTTGGATAAGTAAGATCCAATACAAAAAAAGCTGTGACCAAGAACTGTCCCCAAATGCATATTATACCTATCTGATAATCTAAGATACAGTCCTGCTTAACTGTTACATTTAAAAAAAATAAAATAAAATCAATCATTAGCAGATACAATATCTATGAAAAATAAGATTTAAAACATATGCTTTTATCAGTCTTAAAAAGTACCACAATTATAACCACTCATCAGAAATTCTTCAAAGTACATACATACTCTACATATTCTAATAGCCTATAAGAGTTATTTCTTCTTTCCTTAATAAGCATACTAGCTATAAACTCAAAATATAAAATTTTCTAAATTAAGCTAGTAATAAAAGACATCCACCCCCTAAAAAAACCGTATCATCAGCTAAACAATCACTTGTTAATCACTGAGAGTGAGTTGCTGAAGTGAGACTGATGGCAAGCCCTTTATCTAACATTTAAAAAGCCTACTTCATACTTGTTATCTAAACTACATCACATGCAATAAACAACACATTTTTTTTTTTTTTTTTTTTTTTGAGTCCAGGTCTCACTCTGTTACCCAGGCTGAAGTGCAGTGGCACAATCACAGCTCACCACAGCCTTGAACTCATGGGCTCCTGCAATCCTTCCAACCTCAGCCTCCCAAGTGCTGGGACTACAAGGACATGACAACCCAGCCAAACAACACAACGTTTTTTGTATGTAGAAATGAGGTCTCACTATGTTGCCCAGGCTGGTCTTAAACTCCTGGGCTCAAGCAATCCTACTGCCTCAGCCTCCCAAAGCGCTGGAATTATACACATGAACCCAGTCGACACAACATTTTTTTGTGGGTGAACATGATATTTAATCAATGATATTTGCTAGAACTGAAAAAGAGAACTATAACTTTTAAAATACTTTTTAAATTTTAACATAGTTTTGCCTACCTGGCTTTTATTTGGCTTTTCCTAGCAGCTGCCTCACTAGCAGTCATCGGTTCAGGAAGAGCTGAAGGAATAGAAGAATTCTTGGGAGGAGAAAAAAAAATCACTTCGTTTTTATTTTAACGGCTAAGGCTTTTATTAAAGCTCTGACTATATCACTGAACTTAAAAAGTCCTGTCTATGAGATACCACTCCTTTTATGTCAGACATCTACAGATTGTTCACATACATTTACAAGATCTAATCCGCAAATACCACTGCATGTTACACGTCACTTTCATGTCCTTGTTCCACAGGAACTCTTAGAAAATAAGAGGAAGAGCATCACTGTACCCATTTACAAAAAGTAAGTCTTGAGCAAAAAGAAAGATTATATTACATATGTAAATCAATGACTGTTTTACATTTTAGAAAAGGCAGCAAACAGCAAGGATAAGAATAAAGTGCTGTTTTTAAATACTACAATAAGGTCTAGAAAATAAGGGCTGAGGTCTCATTTGTTTATACCCAATGTTTGGCTCATTGTAAAAGTACTGAATAAATATTTGCTGAATAAAAAGCTAAAAATTCACAGTCAAATGTCTAATCTCCTTTCACTACTAGAATGTTTAAACTTCATAACTTTAAGCTTCAACAGAGAAAATACTACACTGACACCATAACATGGTTCATCTAAAGTGTGCACTGTGCAGTGAACAGAATTCAAAGTCTTTGGAATAATATTAGCTATTATCAACTGAGCATCTTCCATGGATGAGGCTCAGGGTTTTTACATGTAAAAGTCTTATAATCACTACCTTTATTTTATAGAAAAGATATAGACATTAAGTCACAGTCCAGAAGATTCAAAATCAGTCACTGGTAAAAACAGAATTGAACTCAAGTCTCTTCATTTACAATGTCTGGGTTCTCGACACCAAAGGTTCCCAAACTTTCTCACTTTCTCAGTTAACAGAGTGACTAGTGTCTCAGTAATTTTTTGTGACATTTCTAAGCCAAAAGAAAAAAAACTAACACGCCTGTTTATTAAATGGTTAGGCCAAACAACTTAATAAAATTAGTTTTTGCTGTGAAAGGCAGATGCCACCAAGTTTTTCTTGAAAATGCAAAAATATCATGCAGTGATCCCTGAGAGTACTGCAGTTTCTAGAGAACCTCAGTGTACAGTTTGGGTTCTGTAGCTTTATATCAAAAATACTATCCAACACAAGTTCAGACCATTTGTCCTGAAACAAGTAACTCTCAAAGTATAGACATTTTGCACATAATAAAATGGATTCTAAATTCATACCCTACTTGAAAAACTACTTACATTGATGTTAGAAATTGGACAATCCTTTTTGGCAAATTTAAATGCAAAATATGACACTTGAAATATATCAGGTCTACATTCTGGGTCTGGGTCAAGCATAAATCCTACAAGAAAAGATCAAAATATTAAACATTTTATGAAACATTTTATGAAACACACATTCTAAGGATAAAATATACAAAGGGGGAACCAAAAGAAAACTGAAATTATCTTTTCTAGAGGGTGGGCCCCTTGTAGTACAGGCTTCCCCTGCTAGTTAAGTGTTCTGGGAACCCATCGGCATCACTGTACCAGCTAGTGTTCTTCTGAGAGGCTGCATTTGACTTCACTGAATGCTTTTTTTTTTTTTTAAGATTCTTTCAACTCATCTGCCCATTTCATGATGGGTGATTTACCAGCACACCTGCCCAGGTTGTCCCGAGTGTTCAGTGGTTTTTGACAAAAAACAGCATGACCCCCATGTTCTATCCTCCTTATTCACCTGATCGCACCCCAAACAACTTTTGTTTGTTTCCCTGAACGAAAAAAGTTCTCAAAGGGAAACGTTTTGCCGATGTGGAAAAGGAGAAACTAAAAACTGCAGAAGCAGTAAAAGAAATCAAAATTGACACGTTTAAAAACTGTTTTGAACAGTGGAAAGGTAGGTGTATTGCATCAAATGAAGAGTATTTGGACGGTGACTGAAGTTTAAGCATGCAAGAATAGATACACAATTTTTTATAAATAAATTCTGGATTTTTAGGGGTCCCCCTCATATATATATTCTGCTCCATTCTAAGATCAGTGATAATTCTAGCAAACTTTGTTAATGCTTATAGAAAAAGCAGAAAATGCCCAGGCCAGGCTCAGTGACTCAGCCTGTAATCCCGCGCTTTGGGAGGCTGAGGTGAGTGGATTGCCTGAGCCCGTGGGTTCGAGACCTGCCTGGGCAACTTGGTGAGACCTAATCTCTACAGTAAATCAAAAAATTAGCTGGGCGTGGTAGCGCATGCCTGTAATTCCAGCTACTTGGAAGGCTGAGGCGGAAGGATCGCCAGAGCCCAGCACGTTGAGGCTGCGGTGGCCAGAAGCGGCCACTGCACTCCAGTCTGGGCGATGGAGTGAGACTCCAACTCAAAAAAAAAGAAAGAAACCTAAAGAATTACCCAAGTTAACAGCAGATCACTGAACAGTTCTGCACCAAAAGAAATATAAATGACAAATATGATTTATCTCTTGAGAAAATGACACCAAAGAAAAAGGTGAGTTAAATGAACACTGAGGAATTACTCAAGAAAGTTACAGGACCATGCTGAAAGGTCCTTCAAAATAATTCAATTCAAAATAATTCACACTATTATCTAAAATACCTCTGTTAATTTTTAAGTGATCCTGAATCACTGAGAAAAGACTAAATTGTGTACATTACAGTCTGTTTAACAAAGTATTACAAGATTAATAATGACTTTCTGAAAACATCTTTTCTTCCCATACTGAGGCTAACCATATTCACCATAGTTCTGTATTTTAGCATGTTATTCATATCATGTTCAGAAGCATGAGAAGAGTTTTACGGTTCTTATGAACAGATTTCAACCCACCTTAACAGCATTGCTTGAAATGCCTGATCTTTTTCCTAATAAAAATTACCACTGTCACTAGTGTATTTCTTGGGTGATTTTTAACTTAAAATTTCACAAAAAGGTTGACATTTATACTCAATTTCATAACTGAAAAATTTATATTTTGTTATTATATCTCCCTGTCTAACTCTTCATTAATTAACTCTTAGTTCTTACAATGTTAAAATCATTTTTAAATTATTTTAAATGTAAAGTTTATAGCATTAATCAGATTTACAAATTTAAATAATATTTTGAACAAAGAAAGCACAACCACATCTCCAACAATGTTATAAATTTATTTTGGCTAGAAACACAGTTGTGTGGTGATACTAAGCACAAGACTTGATAATTTATTTGAAAGATTCTGAACTTAGCTTAAAAAATACAAAAACCATGTATGTAACTTGATTTTATATATTTATAATGCTTACATTATTACTTAGAAAATTCACTTTTTATCATTTTATCATCATTGTTACATAGAGATAACTAAAAACATTTTAATTCTAATATTTATTAGTTTATATTCAACCACATTACAGAAAGGATTTGAGACATCTGCAACGTTTATTTTATTCCACCAAATAAATCACATCTAACTTGATACCAACATATATTAAATATTTTTTAAAGTAGCAAAAGTACATATATATGTACCTATATACAAAAGTACATACACAAAAATGCATACAGTATATGTACTTATATATAATGTAACTTGTATATACATACAATTTAAATATACTTTTAACAAAAATGCTTATTCATATAGTTTTAAAAACCAAACAAATCACAAGAAACCTATCAAATTCACAAACTAACTATCTTATTTTTCTATTCTAGTAATTAATTTATTTGGCTTTTAAAATCTAATTTCAGGCCAGGCTCGGTGGCTTGGCTGTAATCCCACGCTTTGGGAGACCGAGGTGAGTGAATTGCCTGAGCCTGCAGGTTCGAGACCCACCTGGGCAACTTGGCGAGACCTTATCTCCACAGTAAATCAAAAAACTTAGCCAGGCACGGTAGCACATGCCTGTAGTTCCAGCTACTTGGAAGGCTGAGGCGGAAGGGACGCCGGAGCCCAGCAGGTAGAGGCTGCGGTGGCCAGGAGTGGCCACTGCACTCCAGTCTGGGCAACGGAGTGAGACTCCAACTCAAAAATAAATAAATAAATAAAAATAAAAAAAATAAAATCTAATTTCATATAGTATGTATACCATAATACTATGCAGTCATAAAAAAGAATAAAATCATCTCTTTTGTGATAACATAGATACAGCTGGAGGCCATTATCCTAAGAGAACTAATCAGAAGTAGAAAATCAAATACCACTGTTCCCACTGGAGCTAAGCCATGGGTATACATGGACATAAAGATGGAATGAAGAGACACTGGGGACTCCAGGAAGGAGGACGGTGGGAAGGAGGTAAGGCTTAGAAAACTGCCTGTTAGATACAGTGTTCAAGACATGGGTTGTGATGGGTACACTGAAGGCCCAACCCCACCACTGTACAATACACCCAGGTACTAAACATGCACATGTACCCCCATTTTAAAAAATGTTCTTCTCCTTATAATTTCAAAAAAACCCTAATATCAACAGTAGCTAACAATACCTATTTATTCCTATAAAGAACTTGAAGTGGCACACAAAACTAAGTTCTTTAAATATGCAAGAAAATTAGAACTAATAGAAAGTAATGGCAGAAGGGAGTGAGTGGGAGGATAATGAGGCCAGTAACAAAACTGCATATGATTTGCTCGTAAAGTAGGCCCACAATTTAGCTCTCCACTTTCTACATTGTCCATATAAATAGGGCAACACGATCCACTACATGAATCACAGTGTCACACAAAAACAAACCAGGTGCTGAGAAAAAACACAATCCCTCATACTGAGAGGAGAGAGAAATCCTCCCTCGGGTCTTTCTACAGATGCCTCAGAGTGAACAATGTCCCTAAGGAACTTTGGGGAATGGCCCAGGGTCTGTGAACACTCCTTCAGTGTGGACTGGTGGCATAACACCTGGACGTGTTCTGCAGAAGAAATTCTAAGGAAGGGAGAACAAGAATACACTTCTCCGGTGGCTAGCTCATTCTAAGAAAAACTTTTTAAGTATCTAGAGAGAACAGAATAATCCTTCAGGCAATCCTGTTTTTTTCCTTTGTAATAGTTGAGAAGAATTGAGGGGAAATAAATAAATCTGATGTTTTATGTTCTAACTAACACCAGTAGGAATAATTCTATCTCTCGAGGTAAACACACCACCATGTTCTCTAATGACGAGGTAGCCAGACTGCAGGTAAAACTGATGTTAATAGATCTTGTAAGCCAACAAAAAGCCCTATGACTCCTTGGCTCAATTTCCACGTGGGAACACATTTGCTGGAGCCAGTTTAGTCTATCTAACTGTGCTGACCCCGCCTATGTGACATAAAATCAATTTAAAAGATCAGAACTAACATTTATTTTAATGATGAACAGAAAATGTTAGAGTGGTTTAATGTGATAGGTATAAGCAATGTTTCATGAAACTTGATGGGGGGGGCGTAAACCAGGTCATATGTATTTTTTTTACACTGAATCACAAAGAAGTCTGAAACCACTCTTCTAGTGAAGTCCCCTGATCTCTGCCTACAACTATAACTCATTCTTCCCCACTGGAAAAATAGTGATATTTATGTTAGACTAGAAAAAAGAATTAAGCAACCTACATGCATCAATCTCTAATGTTCTTTCTTTCAGAACATATATGTTCTCTGCTAAACCCTGTTCTGTAAGTAACTTGCCTCTGTGAAGGAAGTCTAAGGTTTTCCAGCATTATCTATGACTGTTGTCAGTAAATTTGGGGGTTAGGGACAGAGTAACAGGCCCATTTGGCTTCAGATCTAAATTTCGTTCTACAATCTGCTTTATCAGTACTAAAGTTGACTGATTTATCTGATAAGTTTCTCTTCCCTATCTCGGATTTGGTTCTAAATTCAAAGTATGCAAAGAATAATGATCATACCTGAAATCCACAGGTAAAACATGGCTACATTTTTATCTCTGAATATTTTTAAATTGAGTATTACCAGTCATTAAAAAAGGAAAAAAAAATTCAATAAGGTATCTTTAAGCATTTAATTTAAATAATATAATTTCTTGTACTCTTCAAGACAATGAATTGTAAAACATACCCTTGGATTACTGAATGATGTAATTTGGAGTGCAGAAGTATCAAGTTTAATCCAGCTAAAAACTGGGACATATCTACCAATAATGACAACTTCCATTTTTAAGTAATTTGTCCAAAGTGTTTCCTCTTGCAATAGTCAAACATCGAGGCTAGTGTTTTATTAACTCCTACTTCATGATAATAAAACTATCATAAGGCAACCCCTTCAGGTCCCCTCCCACTGTGGGAGCTTTCCTGTCCTCTCAATAAATCCTGCTTTAAAAAAACAAAACAAAACTGTATTATCTACAAAGCATACATTCTTGGGGAAAATAAATAAATTAAAAATACATGTACCTGGTTCATCTGAAAGTGCTATCAAGTGATTAAGTTTAAAAACAAAACAAAAAAGGCAAAGAAGCTGGAATACGCCCTTGTTTATTCAACTTAAAATGATCATGTGACTCATCACAAGCCCACTGCCAATGACCCTGATTCCGCTACAAATATAAAACCAACTTTTAAAAAATTAGCCACAAGGAAATTAAAGGGGTTTTTTGCTCACCTTAATTGTGTCATCTTTCTATTGACACAAATATGGATACAACCTGAAAAAAACTGCCTCAGCATGGAAGGTAGCATTTGATTAAACCATCTAATATTTCCTACTAAGGTATCACACATATGTATTTAAAAGCTCTTGTCTGAAGTAGCTGAATTAATTATATTTATACTAATACTGCATAGAAAAGTACAACATTCCTGCACATTTTAATAAAAATAGTAGCTGAAGGAGCCGCCGCTGCTGCTGCTTTTCCAACAGCCAAGTTCTATTATGGTTTAATCAAGGACCCAAGCCAAAAATTAAATAGCTACCATTCAAGACACACAAAACAATAAACCCATGCCTGGGCCCAGATAAAAGTTAAGTCAACATCTCTAATATACTTGCTCAACAAATTTGAAAGGAAAATACTTTGGATAAAAGTCTCAAAAGAATGTTCCTCCTTAAAATTTGAATTGTTTTATTTCAAATAAAGGCACCTTTTCTCTCCCACAGACTTCTAGTTATTACACTTATAGTATCTACCCTGAAAAGAGAACTAGCCACTCTAATTTTATAACAATAAATATTTCAAGCATCAACTTATTAGTTTTATTTACTATAGCAACTTATATATTGAGGTGTATGTCCCATATACCTTATTATAATGGACAGTTGACATAAAACCAAATTTAACAGCTGATGATAAATATGTTCAATTACAACTAAAATACAAAGTGGCACTATCAATATGCCAGGATAACATACTTGGGATAGTCCTGGTAACTATCCCTAGGGGTTATTGAGCAGAGTCCCTCTCTCTATTGCACCTCAAGTGGTAGCCCAGACCCAATGACTGAAAACGTACAAGGAAATCCCATCTTAATCTTTGATTTCTCTTCAAAGGTACTTTAAAATGTTTGAACTGGGTTTTTATTGTTGGTGGTTGTTGGGTTTTTTCCCAAAAATAATATAGAAGAGAGTGGGTGAGAATGTAGGTGAAATAAGATTGCCCATGAATGACAGGTACATGAAAGTTTATTACACTGTTTTGTCTATATTTGTATACATTATTAAATTTCCATAGTAAATTTAAATGTATCAGAACAAGCAAGCAAATTCCTAGTTTCCCACAAATAGGTATTAAAATAAATTTAACTCCACTGAGCTTGGCATACTAGCATGCACCTGTAGTACCAGCTACTCAGGAGATTGAGGCAGGAGGATCACTTATACCCAGGAGTTTGAGACTTGCCTGGGCAACATAGTAAGACCACATCTCAAAAATTTATAAATTAATAAATAATGAGTTTAACCCCAATAGATAAGCTGCTAAGAGCCAAGATAAAGAAGGCATAAGTAGGCTGGGCCCAGCGGCTCACGACTGTATTCCAGCCCTTTGGGAGGTAAAGGCAAGATTGCCTGAGCCTAAGAGTTTGAGACTAGCCTGGGCAACAGAGCAAGACCTCATCTCTAAACAAAATAAAATAAAATTAGTCAAGCATGGTGGTACACACCATAATCCCAGCTACTTGGGAGGGGGAGGCAGAAGGATTGCCTGAGCCCAGGAGGTGAAGGCTATGGTGAGCCTTGACTGTGCCGCTGCACTCTAGTCTGGGCAACAGAGTGAGGCAATGACTTAAAAAAAAAAAAAAGGAAAGGAAAGAAAGAAACCATAAACAACAATAAGTGAGAAGCTCCTAAAACAAAAAAAATGAGGTGGGGGGGGCTTTTTTCTGGTTTTTATAACAAATCACTAACCTACTGCACAAAATAAACTGGTGAGAAAAATAATCCAAGCAATTATATTTAACAGCATATTCGGAATATATCATAATTTAAGATAGGCCTTTGGTAGATCCACCATTAAACAACAAAACCAAGTTCTATTTCAAAGCATCCAAAGAAACTTCTGCAGAGAAAGTATACCCTAGTAAGTCTCTGATAACAACTGTCCTGCCCCTTATACACTTTTCATAATCCAATTCTCACAATAACCCTAGAGGCAGGTACTTCTAGTATGCATTGGGCAGGCTGAGATAAATGGAGATGCCCAGTGCTCTATACGCAATAAGGGACAGGGCAAGCGCAACCCCGGCCACTAGACTCTTGAGGGCTTGCCCTTCACCTCTAGATGCACTTCCTGAGTCATCTCCCATACAGCAGCTAGAAGAAACATGGGGTGGCCAGCCTTCTGCCCATTCTCCATTGCATTCAGGAGTCCCATGTTCTCTCTCTCCTCTACACGTTCTCTAAGTCCTGTCAACGTTTGGATCTGAAATGGACCATGCTTCTCTTCCCAACCCCCATGCTGCCCCCATGTCCTGTTCTATTGGGAAAGTTAACAGAAGCTAAGAAGAGAAACTCGAAATAACTGACCCCAACGCTTTGAAGAATATAATTCTGCAGGAAAGAAAGAGGAAATAGTTAAACTAAGTATTATGAGCAGTTGGTAATAATAATTACCCTTGACCTAGATTAGTGATCATCAAAAGTATATTCAAATACTTTAAGGAATCAAAAACCATACAGTTTCAACAAAGATTTGCCACGGCCATTTAATTTTCAAAACTCCTGAGTGATATAAAATGGATGCAAACAGCATAAGTATTATCATTAATACTAAAAAGATACATGCCTTTTTATGCTTTATCTTAATATGTGGGAATAACTATACTGCATGAATAACAATTGGCAATAACTTTTGCATTCAAAAACTATCAGCAAAGCTAGGCAATTCCTGGTTTTTTGAATGTAGGATTTATTTAAAAATAATGTAAGTCATTAATTACGTATTTTAAACACAGACAGAGATACCTAAACAGGATGGCAGTAGACAGGCCAGGTCACATGTGAAAAAATGTAAAAACTAAAATTGCAAATAATCTAAATTGTTTAAAAACATATTACATTGTGGGTAAGTATGTTCTGGTTTCAAAAATCTCTACTCTATTAAACTTTTACTACTCAACACAATACTTAAAAAGTAAAGTCCTTTGGCAGGAAGTAAAATACTGTGATTATTGTAATTTCAGATTAACTTTAATGCATTTATTTTTAACCACCTTTTTTATTTCTGCCTAACTCTTAGAAATAAGTTAAAAGACAATAATATATAGTCAAACTTATACTAGCAACAATAAAAACTAAAATCAGCATATTTATTGACAAAGGAAACATATGGTTCACTGTAAAATATCAACTAACTAGAGCCCAATTAGATCCTAAAATTACAAACAGTAATTATCTTTTCCACCTTCCCTTACACATACACATGCACAGAGGAAGAAAAAACCTAAACATAAGAAAATAAGATATTACTACTATAAGTAATTTAAGTCACAGTGAGACTAGGCTTTCTTTTAAGTTCCTTTTTCTTTTGGTCATTTTTTACCTCTTTTTTGGAGAATGTTTACCCTTTACTTTTTTATTTACACAAGTCTTATAAATCATAAAAGTTAGCCCCTTGTCAAATGTGTAACAAATATTATTTCCAACTTATCATTGGCTTTTTGCCAGGGTCCATGAGTTTGGGGAAACTTTTAACGGTTTACAGTTTTATGTCAAAGGCTCTTTCTTTATAGTTCATGGGATTTAATGCTTAGTCTATAAATAGCACATTCTAGTCTTATAAGTATTAATTCATATATATTTTCTTCAAGTACATTCAGGTTTATTTTTTACATTTAAATCTTGGATTTATCTGAAAATTTAGCATGAAGAATCAGGTAGAGATCCTGGCCTTGTTTTCACCCACAAATAGCTCAAAAAGCTGAACCACAGTCTTTATCATACAAACATTAAATGTATTTAAATTAACCTCTTTTCTATGCCACTGGGTTGGAGGTTACAACAGGGGTATTTAAAATGCAGAGAAGAAAACAGAAATGCCAGAAGCACTTTAACTGAAAAGTGCTGAGAGGTGCGGTTTAAATACTGCAATTTTCTAATACATTTTAATACCTGATGGTCCTCTCCCTCCCCTCAAATCATGGTTTTCAGATACCTTACCAAGTACATACATAAAATGTTAAATTACAGTACCTATCAAAAAGGAATAAAAACATCTTAAAGGAGGGTAGAAGAAATACTAAAATACTATTTTAAAATTGAGGGCCCGCCGAATTATCCCTTCTCACATTACACTCTGGTACGTGTTCCTAGGGGCTTAAAAATATCCATGTATTTCATCAATAATGAGGCTGTTTTCTTTAGTATAGTTTCACAAACTTATAATATGTGAAATTAAGATAGATTTAAGTGAAGAATGTAAATAGTAGGCCTTTAAGTATAGCATCTTAAAATTTTTTCACATGTCTTTCCAAATACTTACTTATTAGGCAATGTATATTATGGGAGTAACGAGAACTGTCTGGGATGGTAAAGTTGCCATCACAGATAGCAACCTGACTCTCACCAAAAGGAAGCGAGAAGAAACAAAGTTTATAGAGTAAACATCCCAGTGCCTGTAAAACAAAGAAGCAGGAATATCATCAGAGCTGAAGTAATAAACTTAACCACAAGACATAAAAGAAGTCCAAAACTAAAAACTAAGTGCTATTTAAAAAAAAAAAAAAAACCTGTTTCTATACCACATCAATCTTTTCACCAAGTATTGCTTAAACAAATATATTTAATTTTTGAAACGATATTTTACTGTTAACATTTCCATAATTTTCTATCACATCTGTGGCTAGCTGGTTGAATTAATGGTATCACGGAACTAAAATTAAAAGTTAGCTGGTTCCTTTTGGGGAAAAAAAAAACAAAAAAAACTTTTATTCCTTCCACAAGGAAAATATGTATTTAGCATAAAACTAGCATATAACCAACAAAGTAAGTAAGTACAAAGCTCCCTCTAACAATATTTTTAAAAATTCACTATAAAGCATGTTTAAAAATTCTGGGATTCCAAATGAGTTAGCCAGCACAGTTAAACTTATCAGACAACCATCAATATATTCTTATTGATTATTTACTAAGCACACCTCATTATTTCATACTTTAAAAATTAAGCTATTTTCATGTGTACGCCTGTAATTTTTTATTGCATATTACGCTAATTACATCCATAACCTAAGACATCTATATCAGAATTCAAGAGGAAGGGCTCTGTCTGCCTAGTTTGCATGGGTTCATGACTATCATATCACCAGTAAGTCTACATGCTGACAAAGTAGGAAAACACCCAAAACACAAATTCCATCTGTAAAAATAGCACAGAAAATTTCTAGCAAACCTGTTAACAGCTCAAATCTGAAAAGCAGCTTTAAAAAAAAGTGATTTTTAGCTTAAGAAATCATTACTTTGTCCCAAGAAGTATAACCTACAGGCCCCTTCAGAGTGTAAGAGGCATTTCAATTCTAAAATGATTGTATAAAATTATTCAAGTTAACAATTTTATCAACAATACTGAAATTGGGCTTTACTATCTAAAAATTAGCAAATCAACTTTCCTTTCTTGACTATTCTCCACACATAAACTTAGCAAACACAGCTAACTAACAAGAGCACTAACTTTTATAACTACTATGAAGATCTTAATATATCAGAAATACCATCATAAATTCAACAATATTAATTTACAAAAAATTATTTTCAATATTTGTAGCAATGTTCCAATGAAAACAGTTTATAATCTTTGGAAATTTTAATATATTAGAAATATTACTGGGTTATTATATGACTAACAAAATTATGAAGATTCTAAATAGAAATAACCAGTTCAATATAGTTTAAAGGGATTTATGATGCTTTTTTCTTTGAGGAAGATACTTTTAGCACATATAGCAAATTGAACATTAACGCTCCTTTACCAGCACTAAAAGAAATGCTGTTCATGATATAATTCCACATTAAATTACATTCTACTTTCCACTGATCTATATGACAGTTTAAGCAAAAGAGATCTCCATTTTAGCCAGTTTTACCTTGTCAATCAAACCTTTAATAATTTGTCTTGTATCAGAGTAAATGTTGTAGGGTTAGCAATACCAGTATACTTTAAAAAAAGAAAAACACAAATCTAAATATTCTGCTTCACATAGTGTGAACACATGAAGTCATGCTAACCTTTTTCTTATCAAAGGCACTTCTGTATTTATTTCATACAATGAAATATGTACAAGAAACAGGAGAGAAAAAGTGACCTGATTTTGAAGACTGAGCATCACCACCTTCAAATTTCTTCATTAGAAGGTAACATGAAGCATTTCTTACTGAATTTCCTAAAGCTTAATAAAATCAGCATCCTGGTCGGGCTTGGTGACTCAGCCTGTAATCCCAGCATTTTGGGAGGCTGAGGTGAGAGGATTGCCTGAACCCGTGGGTTCGAGACCCGACTGGGGAACTTGGTGAGACCTCATCTCTACAATTAATAAAAAATTAGTCTGTCGTGGTAGCACGCATGTGTAGTTCCAGCTACTTGGAAGGCTGAGGCAGAAGGATCACTGGAGTCCAGCAGGTCGAGGTTGCAGTGGCGGGGAGCGTGCCACTGCCCTTCAGACTGGGTGCTAGAGTGAGACTCCAACTCAAAAAAAAACAGCATCCTAAATCTCAGGGTGAAAACAACCTACAATGGAAATCTCCAAGCAAAAAAAATGTGTATTCCAAAATATAAAGTGCTAAATAAATACTTTAACCCCAATATTATAACTCTCTGAATCAGTGCTAGCCTGAACAAAAATATAATTCTTATTTATTTATTTATTTATTTATTTATTTATTTAGAGGCAGAGTCTTGCTCTGTTTCCCAGGCTGGAGGGCAGTGGCATAATTATAACTCACTAAAGCCTTGACCTCCTGGACCCAAGTGATCCTATCACCTAAAATCTTACAGGTATTCACCACCATACCTGGATAATTTTATTTTTATTTTTATTTTTTGTAGAGATAGGATTTTACTACGTTACCCAGGCTAGCCTTAAACTCCTGGGCTCATGAGATCCAACCACCTTAGCCTCCCATGGTGCTGGGATTACAGGCATGCACCACCACACCTGGAATCAGAAATAAAATTTTTTACCAAATTGAACCAAACATTGTTTTTCTGGATGTTTTTTAATTCACACCTAAAATGTCGTAGCATACTTCTCTTTCACCTAAGTAAAGCAAAGTATAAAAACTGCATCATGGAAATTAAGATTCTTTCTTTTTCAAGCATATAAACATAGATACTGCTTTCTGATTCTTTGTTTCCTTTTTTATTTTGAGTATCTATTTGTAAACGCACAGTTATAGCCAGTTATTCATCACAGAAACATACCCCATATGACAAACTTTAAAAGTATAACTGACAACTTAGTATGCTGCCTTGTATTACTAAGTCTGATGAAAAATTTAAAAAAAAGGATTCCCTCCTTTGTGTTCATATATTGGATAACAGTTGCATGCTTGGAGAACAATTTTTGCTTTTAATCAATACTCAATGATTTCAAAACGGTTGTAATATTCTTTCTAGGTAATACACAATTCAACAACAGTAACAAAATTCAGCCAGAAAAGACCTCCACAATGGTCTCTTCAAATACCTTCACTTTATAAGTCAAGTTCCAATTCAATCTGTTTTCTACATTATACATAACCCTTTACTGTAAGACACTTAATGGAGTCGAATGTGAGTGCTGTGGAAAGCAAACCAAAGGTAGGTTACAAAAGCTGCAGATCTTCAAGCAGTGTCAAGTTAACCAGTATGCTTACTTGTAATGTGATTGAACCATGTATGTGGTTAAAAACTCAACTACCACAAGATTCACTCTTTGGTGAAAGTATCTACTGTATGAAGACAGATGAAAAGATAATAAACAACATTTTGTTATTACCTTGCAAAAATATTTGCCTCTCAAGACTTTGTTAGGCACCCAGCCCCAACAGGGAGAAGGCCAGGAAACAAAAACCAAGGAGATATTCATTTAGCTTCACATTATGTTTGACTACTTTCTGAACATCATGTCTTAAAAACAAAATAAATCTTTTTGTGTAAACTTTGGAACTATATTCAAAAAATTTTATTCCTGCATCCCTAATATGATCACTAGTGGCAGATATGGTTAAATAATTATTGTATTTAAATGAATTAACATTTAAAAGTCTCCTGCTAGTTTATTAAATATAACCAAATACATATTTTACTCATGAAATAAGTTCTAAAGAGATGTTGACATTCTAACACAAAGTTCAACTATAAAGAACCATGTAGCATCTCAATAATTCAATCCAGATATATATATGCTAAGTGACAGTCTCAATATACAGAAGTTAGTCAATAATATGTTCATACTGCAATTAGAAAAAAAGCTTACGCATGTCAGTTTTGATTAAAAAGATCCTAAAATACTCCAAAAAATTACTGTGTAATTACTTAGAAGTTATGTCCAGTTTTTCTGTACTGTGATCAACCAAAATTCCACTCAATCAAAAAAGAAATGTTAACATTCATATATAATGTAAATCCTAAAAAATACTATGGTAAAGTTACATTACATGAAAGCTTTCCATCTCAGGATTGAAAAGTTAAATGTTCTAGTACTGTCTTCTCTCAAATAAGAAGTTCTACTGTACATCACTCTCTTCTACTTATTAGGAAATGCGTTTATGTGGGGGCAGGAAAAAATAGGCAACTGAACTCAGATTTTCTTATTTGGTTAGAGCAAATGTCAGCCTTTTGTGGCCTTACCCAGATATCAGCCTTGGTGGTGATGGGTTTCCCTCCATAAAGGTTGATCATTTCAGGGGCTCTGTATGACAGAGTCGTGTACCTGGCAGTAAATGAGTGAAATGGAGTGGAGATATATATATAAAAAAAAGACAGATAATACATTGATTCTACATAAAATGCTGCAAAAAATATTTTAGATTCAACATTATATAGAAATAATACTATTTTTATAAGCTCATTAAAAACCCATCAAGGATTAAACAATACAAAGCATCAATACACACTTTTATTCAACAAGTACAACAGCAACTCTTATGATATAAAAGTTTATTTTTCTTTATTATAAAAATCTTAAATAATGACAATGTATTGAAAAGTTTTCTTGACTTGCTTATGTGAAATAATACAATTTGACTATTATAATCTCCATATCAAAATATTTTAGCCTATTGATTTAAAGGCAAAGTTTCTACTCTCTCCAAAACTTAATTTATATGTTTACTAAGGAGTTTGTTTTATGTACTCTAACATACTTCCTTGCACACAGTAGTAAATCTTCTTTGAGTTTGCTTTTATAATTTTTGTTTTAAAAGTAATCTAGTTTCCATAATCTAACTACACTCAATAAGTACACTGCTAATACTGACGACCATCATAAGCTATTTGGAATTAAAAGATACTATGAATAAATATTTTACCAGTATAAAAACCACAAATCCATTATGAGCAGAACATTTTAATAAAGTAGTATCGAATTCTCATGTCAGAAATTATCAGAATATGGACAGACTTCCTACAATGCGGCATAATTTAAGATTCATTTTGAGTGTTTTTACATTTTATTTTACAAGCAGTATCTTAAAACTCAACATACTATCATTTTTCTTTTTCCAAATTACTTTGACTGGTGAGACAGTCTGAATGATACAGACGAATGACCTAAGAAACCAGAACATAAATTTCATGAAGGTAGGATTTTTGTTCACTACTACACCCAAGCACCGAGAATAGTGTTGGCCCTGAATAATTTGTAAACTAAATGAATGGTTAGTTAATTTACTCCTTAACTGAGCCACAAAGCACAAGAGCACCTCATGAGTTTTCATTTATTACTAATGCAAAATTCAACTAAACCTTGACTATACTGCAGAAGGCAACAGCAAGAAATAAAACGTCCAGCAGGTCAGAGGTGCTTGAGCAGAACCCTATAGAAGCCATTAAAAATCAAGATCCAATAATTTTTTTAATTATATGTATATACGTATATCACCTAAAAGCCAATTCAATACTTTACTACTCTTCTATAATGTTCTTTGGGACATTTGTATATTTACTCAGGTGTTTGTTTTATGAAATCTAACATAATCATTATAGGCTAAGTCTCCTGAGTAGAATTATGTTGCCTAGAAATCCATGGTATTATACAATTGGGTCAGTTCTATTTGAGTGATTTCAAAATGTTGCAGTTCAAATGATAGCTCCGAAAATGTATTAAGTGACTGAGAATTTGTGAGGAAGTGATGAGAGACAACTAAGAAGAGGCAACTACTTAGAAAGTCCTATTCTGACAGACCATCCTGCATTCTGTATCACTTTATTAAGGTAGCCTAGGATTTACAAACAGTTCTGTTTTTGAAAACTAGAAAACAGAAAATCAAGAAAAGGTCCTCACAGGTACTCTAGCAACCACAGAAAGTACAGGATTAAGAAAACACGAAGTATGACCTAAATTTCTTCCATACAGCTTTCCGGTACTATACCATTACAAAGCAACAATGACTTAATACAGTCTTAAAACTTTCATTTTCCACAGTTTTCTATGCATACAGAGGTCAATCTTAATATTAAGTATGAAGTAAAAGCTTAAATGTTTTCAAACAATTTAACTTTCTCTTAACAAGCACAAATCCTCAGTATCAGTAAAAACAAAGATGTTCAACTGAATTCAATAATTACTTTAAATTGGCTTTAATGATTCCACTAAATACTATAGCTTATTTAACAAATGTATTTGTAAATCTATTTACAATGTAGATGAAAAACTTGCATCCATGGTAAAATATATTTCCTACTGAGATAGATCAGACATTAATTGATCAATATCTATGTTATAGGAACATTTTGAAGAAATCTTAAATGTAGTATTTAAAAACTGTATTAGCAGAACTGGTCATAGACTCAAGTTAATTAAAATGACCATGAAACAAAGTGCAATAAAAACACTTACTTTTTAATTTCTTCTTCTACTACATTAACTCCATCTTTTTGAGGATTAAGAAATTTATTAGTGGCACTGCCAAAGTCGCAAAGTACATAGTTTCCGCCATCATTCAACAAAATATTTTCTACCTTAAAAAAAGAAAATCAATAGTTAGTAGTATTTTCAAATGAAAATTATCTCTTTACAACCATGTTTTCACACAATTAACACTGAAGAGTGTGTGCCATATACATACATACGTGTGTATGCCATATATATGCATATATGTGTATTATACAAGTGTGTGTATATGTGTGTGTGTGTGTGTGTGTGTGTGTGTGTGAGAGAGAGAGAGAGAGAGGGAGAGGGAGAGGGAGAGGGAGAGGCAGAGGCAGAGGCAGAGGGAGAGGGAGAGAGGGAGGAGGAGGAAAGGGGGTAGGGGCGAGGGGAGAGGGGAGAAGGGAAGGGCAAATGAACCAGAACAAAAATATATCACACTATGTCTACTCTTTCTCCTACTAAGAACAGAGAACATCATAGAATGGTTTTTACAGGGGCAGAGAAACCCCAGATCCTCTCTAATACTGCTTTTATGAAAAAGAAGAACTAGTAGTCGGCAGAGTCCAGCTTCTCTTTTCTTCTTCCCTGACACTTCAGCTTAGACAAGTAATAATGAAAATCATTTACATTCTATTTTTGATTGACGTCCAGTACCATTTTATATAAAATACTGTAATGTAAAACAAAAATCTGGATTAACTTGGATATCAGTGTTGCTGTATCTAAAATAACCAATTTTGCAATTATGCAGTTTCCTGAAAGCTGACTGTGGCCCACAGCCCTATCTGATACTCAATAGCACATGTACCATTAGGATAATCTGCTAAATCACTCTTGTGCTTTAGTCTCCTTATCTATAAAATGGGGAAGATTATAATACCTATCATATGAGATTGCTGTGAAATCAAATGAATTAGAATATATAACATGCTTAGAACAGTCCTGGATATAGTAAGCACTCAACTCAACATATGATTATTACATGTTTTTTCAATACGTCTTATTTTTATGATAGTCTTAGATGAGCAATTCATTTCTATTTTATCAAAATAGTTTCTTTATAATTTTTCTTCTATTGGCCTACTTTTAACAAGATTTGCACAAAATACAGTATCATACAAAAAATTAAAATATTTACTTTTTAACATGTTTACACATATAAAAAGAACTAAAAGTACATAGAATATTGACGATACATAATTATGCAATTTAATGCTCTTCTTGAGTTTTACATCAAGATAATTCAGCTGAGAATATCAACTTTTTATGCAAAAAGTTAATGAACTGAGAGGGGAAGGGGAAAAATTAATGAACTATAACAGCACAAAAAACTCACACAAAATTATTAGGGAAAATGTAAAAGCTGCATATTCAAAAGATCTGAGATTAGCTATCCTGATTATCCAAATTAAGGAACAAAAATCTCATTTATGCATCTCAGGCCTGCTGTGACTTAACTCCTATCACCATAGGTTTTCCAGATGATGTTTTCATGATTAACAACCTATATTCTTAGTGATCTCTTCTATTCTCTCTTCCAAGTATTTTACAATCATAAAATATTATAAAATTCTGTATAATCTGTCAAACATGGGATTCATTTATTCATTCATTAAATATTTATTGAGACCTTGCTATGTGCTAGGCAGTCTTAAATGCTTGAATACATCACTAAAAAAAAAAAAAACTAAAAATTCTCTGACCTCACAAAGTTTACATTTTAGTGGGAAAGGACAAATAATAAACAAAAAACATAATGCATAAGCAAATCGTACAGTATCTTAGAAGTAGTTTAAGTATTAATAAAAATCAGAGCAGGTAAATGTCAGGTTGTAATTTTAAGTAAGGAAGTTCAGGATAGGACTCACTGAGACTGGGTCTAAGCAGACGTGAAGCACGAAGAGGAAGTATCTAGGCATAAAGCATTTCAGGAAGGGAAATTTTTATAATCTTAGGGTTTGTATGTATGAAAGAAGACAGCTGTGGATCTAAATGATATCTCTAGCAATGTGATGCCAGTAATATTTAATCATCTTTGGGGATTTTTTTATTGTAACAAGTGGGTACCAAATACAAGAGGTCATAAGTTCACAAAAAGATGAAGTGATCTTAAAGACAATTACCACCAAATTATAGAAAGCTCTAATACATTACAGACAAATGGAAAAAGAGACCCACTTGTAGTCTCCTCTAGTATTTCTTGAAAACACCTAGATGCTGAATATGCAATACTGGAAATAGGAGGAATGCTAGCTGAACTGAGAGAGAATAGTGTGGAGGGACAGTTAGCCTGTGTCAGGGACAATAACATTTTTGTTCAAATAACCTTTCTAAGATTCCTACTACATAAAACAGATGCAGAGTAGGGGGCACAAAACCAGGCTCACAGCCATGCTGGAAATCCTCAGGGTCAAGTCAAGCACAATTTCAGCTCTACAGTGTCTACAAGACATCAGGAAATGCAAATAGGGACAGAGAAGACCGTCTCAAAGCTAGTAATAAAAACTGGTTTAGATGAAAATAGTTCAAGAATATTTTAACTCCAAAGTCAAACTCATTACTTAATCAAATCTACATCGGTGTCTACATGACCTCAGGAAATGTGGGAGGGGACAAAGAGGACCAATCTCAAAGCTGGAAATAAAAACTGGTTTAGATGTAAATGGTTCAAGAATACTTTATCTCCGAAGTCAAAAACTCAGTAGTTAACTGATTGTATCTAGAGTTCTTACCTTCAGATCCCGGTGAATTATCGGAGTCTTGCATTGATGCAACCTTGCAACAGCTTCGCAGGTATCACAGAATATCTGTAACACTTCCGGTTCTGTAAAACCTGTCTGCAGCTTCTTATTCATCTGATTCACTACCTGCCCAGCTAACCAGAAAAGTAAGTTTGAGAGGACATAATTTTAATAAATGAAGTCTATCACAAACAAATTGAGAAATGCCTTCATAGTTTTAGGTAATGAGAAACTGACTTAGAAAAAATAAAAATCCAAGGAAAATAAGAAAAATATTTTTAAAGTAAAATTAATATCCACAGACAACAAAAGATTTGCAGCTAGTACAAGAACAAGGTATATTTTAACAAAGAACACTGAGAGAACAAAAAAAGAGTTCCTGGAAATTAAAAATAAGAGAACAGAAATGCAAAATTCTATAGACTAGCTAGAAAATACAGTTAAGGAATGTTCCCCCCCAAAAAGAAAAAAAGCATATAAAGAGAAGAAAGAAAAGAAAATCAGAAGATTGATCAATCTAGAAAGACAAGAATATTCTTAACTATGAGAAATCCAGCAATAGGCAACAGAGAAAATGAGAGAAAAACAAAGCGCCCTGCAAAAAAGATACCAAAAAAGACCCAAACTAAGGCACATATATCTTGAAATTTCAACATGCTGGAGATAAAGGAAAGATTCAAACTGAAGTGTCTCTGAAGAAAATTCGCAATAACATTAGAATTCTTGATAATAACAATAAAAGAAAGTGGAATAATCCCTTCAAAATCCTGGATTAAAGTTCTTAACCTAAAATCTTTTAGCCAGCCAAATAAATTACAATCTACTGTAGGTGCTGAATAAAGATACTTTAATATATACAAGATTTCAAAAATGTTTCTCCCGTAAATCCACAGTCTGAAAGCTACTGAAAAATGTACTCTTCCAAATTAGAGAGTGAAAGCAAGGGGGAACATAAGAAGCAGGGAATCCAACACAGAAGGAAGGGGAATCCTAGGACAACAGACAAACACTGTCAAAATTAAGCAGGAAAACCAAAGTCCCCTAGGGGTGCTTCTAGGGGAAGAAAACATGAAATTGACACAGCTATTATAATGTTCAAAATACTGCTTAATGAAATGTGGGACTAAAATACTAATATATAGGAAGATAATTAGGCAAATGAAAAATAAGGTAATTATTAACTCCAGAAAAGCAAAAAGAAGTACAAGAAAATGCAATTACAGACTATTACATGCCACCAATAAAAAGCAAACAATGTAAGTTAAACACCAGTTTATCCCAAACCTGAAAATACACTACACTGCAAGGAAAGTTCTCATCTTTTTCTGAAGACAATATCTAAAACATAAAACCAGCAATAGCACTAGCCAACTTTCTCTCAAGAGTCTCCTCATGCTGGAATTACATCCCTTCGTTTCAAAAGTCCCTTCTCTGTTGCGCTCTTAAGAACTCACTAAATTACTAATCCTCCTTTATATAACGCAGTATAAAATACGGAAGTAAATATGAGAAGAAACATCTCAGATATTTCAAGGTGACTGCCTCTGAAAAGAAGAATGAGGCAGAAGGGCGCTGATTCAGCCATAACTTAATAGAACCATTTGCCTTTTTAAATCATATACATAAATTATTTTCAAAAAATTTAAATTTTTACATAAAATAAAGCTTGCTGATTGAAATGCCAGATAATTATTTCTGAAAAATTTTTAAACATAAATATGCCTTCCTCAATAAACAGTTCGGGTTATGCTTCTACTTTAAAATAAAATTTGCCCCTAAAAATTGAAGATCATTCCCCTTTTAAAATGTCTTCTAGGGCAACCCCTTCGGGTCTCCTGCCACTGTGGGAGCTTTTCTGTCTTCTCAATAAATTCTTAAAAAAAAAAAAAAAGTCTTCTGGATGACAATAAATTAAATACATCCAGTTTTATGATCATGCTTGACTCAAGTATCTTTAAAGAGTTACAATTAGTAGGGCTATCAGTAAACTCGAATCTAGCTAAGAATTAGCACCACTAATGCTAGAATCCAGGAAAGAAGTGGGGTAGAAAAAATCAGTATTTTGTCCTAAGAGAGATCATAGTGCTTTACAGAAAGAAGATGAGATATAAAGAGAAAGCGATCAAGTACATCACAACAACTATAGCAACACCGACTCACTTCCTTTTCCTCTGTCCTTTCCTCCTTTCAAGACTACAGTAAATGCAACCACATTTTCATCATCCCCACCACCATCATCCCCTCCAGCCCCTCTGACCTTCAGGAAGCCATAAAGAGTTCCTGGTATAGTAATAACAATAATAGCTGTCTTAAGATAATCTACATATAAACCAGGGCTCCCCAGAACCCTAACTGCCTGATTTAAAAAAAAAAAAAAAAAAAGTGTGGAGGAAATAGATTATTTGCCACTTTCTCATACATTAAAAAATGTTAAATGTCAATTATTTTTATGAACATTAGTATTAAGGTATGCTATACAAATAAGTCCTTATTTCAAAATATCACATTAGGGCCAAATAAACTGTGGTTTTCTATCTTTTGATATTTGCAAAAAGAACACCAAAAGACCATATAATACAGGTTAATAAAGAATACAGATAAAAATGCACCCTCTAAATTTGTTAAATTTAATATTTATAATAACATGGAAGAAAAACAGAGTGCCCTGCAAAGAAGATACCAAAAAAGACCCAAACTAAGGCACATACATCTTGAAATTTCAACATGCTGGAGATAAAGGAAAGATTCAAACTTATATTAACATTGACACATTATGCTTTACCTTGGTTGGATGATAAAAGAATTGTACAGAGAGCAAGAATTGTAACTCTACTTCCTTAGATTCCTTTTTTTAAACTCAATAGCACTTTTCTAATTCTCCATTACATGCTCACATCATGGCTGCAGCAACTATGACGAGGTTTTAAATAATTTAACAGCATTCCTAATTAGATAATAAAAGGTAAGACTGCATTAAGTGTTTAGAATAAGTTAATCACTGACCTGGAAAAAGCCAAGACTCCTAGTAACCCATTTTAAGGAGAAATTTTTAAGTAAAACACAAAAGCAAAAACATACTGACCTCGACAATATTCCATTAAGATAAGCACTTCCCACACATTCTCACTAATAGAATTCACAGCAGAGTCCAAATAACCCACAATATTTTTGTGACCAGACAGCTCTTTCTGTTTAAAAAAAAATAATAAAAAATATACATTTAGAGCTATATTATTACCAATAGTTTGAAGCCTAAATTAATGTATATGAAGAATTTCAAAAAGAACTAGGCACAAATATGGAATCAAACATATTTCAACCAAGCAAAGGTTTCTATAATTTCAACGGAAAGCTTACCTGCATATGACTCATTTTCTAACAGACAAATAATGTATCAATAAATATTTATTTTTAAACTCAACTGAGAAAATGCATTCAAAAGTAAAATCTACAAAAGTGTATAAGACAGTCCTTTAAGACTCCAGAATAAAATATTAGAATTTTTATTGTATGTATATTATATGTATTTTTATCTAAAAGAGTAAAGAAATCCAGTTCTAATATCTATTAACTAACAATTATACTCTCATTTATTTTGCCTGCAACATATTGCAATTTATCTATAATATTACATGGATTTATGGATACATGAAATAAAATAACCTAAAAAATAAACAAGTGGCTAAAATAGATATCTGAAAAGAAACCAAAGATTAAAGATATCACTAATAATACAAGTATAAGGAAATAATAAGAAAACGGCAAATCTGAAACTTCTGCTTCTAAAGCAAGATTGCAGCACATAGAAAGATTTAAAATATTAACAATTTAATATAAATTTTAAAGCAATTATTTAAAATAAATTTTCACCAACTATCATTAATAACAAACCTAGTTTTGGCTATGCAGTGAAATTTAAATAAGGGCTAATGACTACTGAACATGTGAACAATTTATAAATAAATAAACATAATGGGGAATGGGTCATCAAAAACACTGGAAGACCACTACTCTAAAGAATTAATCTCCCTCAAAAATCTTATCCAAAAGCATAGGACTCAAGTGCTGTTGCTCATATTTTATGTCTCAAAATTATGCAAATTTGGTACAGTGGCACAATATCTGGGCTCAAGTTAGAGAACTTAATCTGAGCTTCACCATTATCTTGGAGTAATTCTTTTCATCCTCTTAGTGAAAAGCCTTACCTTTAAAAAAGAAAGTCTCAAAGCCTAATCATCGTTAATCCAGCTAAGAAACAAGGAAACTAAAAGTAGAATTCAGAAAATGTAGATTGCATAAATGCATTTATTTTCAAACAAAAGAGACTGAAATATGTGTGTTGGCAAAGATGTTGACACAAAATAAGAAATCTCCCAGTTAGCAGTTGGATGAGTAGGAATCATATAACAAATGTTGGCAATAACAAGTGTTGGCACGATATAGGAAAATACATTGCAGGTGGGAACATAAAATGGTTCAGACTCTGTGAAAAACAGTTTGATGATTCCTCAAAAAGTTAAACCCAGAATTATCATATGATCCAGCAATTCCACTCCTAGGTATACACAAAAGAACTGAAACCAGGTACTCAAACAGATGTATATACATATTCATAACAGTATTACTTGCAACTGTCAAAAGGTAGAAATAGCCCAAATATACATTAAATAATTTTTTAAAGCCCATCAACAAATGAATGATAAATTGTGTTACAGACATACAATGGAATATTATTCAACCATAAAAAAATGAAGTACTAACATAGGCTTTAATGTACAGAAACCTCAAAAACATTATTCTTAAGTGAACGAAAGTTACAAAAAGTCACATGTTGTAAAATTAGTATAGGAAAATCCGGAATAGATGAATCCATAGATACATAACTCAGGTGGATGGCTGCCAGGAGTCAGAGGAAGGGAGAAATGGGGAGCAACTGCTCAGAGGGCAGGGTTTCCTTTTGGGGTGATGAAGAGACTTTGGAACCAGACAAAGGTGGTAGGGGCACAACACTGTGAATGTACAAAATGCCTCTGGAGTGGTCCACTTCAAAATGGTTAATTTTATACTGTGGGAATTTCACTGAAACAAAACAAGAAACTGAAATATATGCGTGTGTGTGTGAGCGCACGCGCATGCACACACACACTTGGTAAACAATGGAGAAGGAGGAAAGAGGAAAAAGAAGACAAAGGAAATGGGAGGAAGTGAGGTTAAAAACAAGAGCAAGAATACCCAGAGTATGGAGAAGTAGCAGCCCTGGAAAGGAAGAAAATATTCATTCTGTAATTCTTTTTTACTATTTAGTCTAGTAAACTCAATTATTGATATTTTTGATGACCTATTAACTGTTTTTCACTTTTCCTACTATTTAAAAAGAATTTTCCCCCTGCTGAAGGATACCTTGCTATAAATGCAGAGTTCACAAGAAAAACAACTGACTTACAGCATCATTTTTAAAATAAAAAACTACTGTTTGTGACTGACTATAAACACACACGGTGAACACATGAATACACATGGGAACAGTAAACACCGTATTCAGGACAGTGGCCTTTTTTTGTTTTTTGATGATGAGAACAGCACAGGGATACCCCATTTAATTGTGCTTTTTCTACTGGCCCTGCTTTATTGTGATTTACAGATACTGTGTTTTTAGCAATGCAAGGTTTGTGGCAACCCTGCATCACACAAGTCTGTTGGTATCCTTTTTCCAAAACCATGTCCTCACTTTGTGTCTCTGTGTCACATTTTGGTAATTCTCATACTATTTCAAATTTTGCCATTATTATATCTGTTATGGTGATCTTTAATCTATGGTCTTTGATATCACTATTATAACTGTCTTGGGGTGTCACAAACCGAGCCCATATAAGATGGCGAACTTAAATCAGTAAATGTTTTGTTTTGTTTGAGTTGGAGTCTCACTCGCCTAGACTGGAGTACAGTGCTCCAGGCATGCTCACGGCTACTGCAGCCTCAATCTGATAGGCTCAGGCGATCCTTCTGCCTCAGCTTTCCAAAGTAGCTAGAACTATAGGCATGTGCCAGCACATCCGGCTAATTTTTCTATTTATTGTAGAGACACGGTCTCACTATGTTGCCTAGGTTGGTCTCGAACCCATGGGCTCAGGCAATCCTCTTGCCTCTGCCTCCCAAAGTGCTGGGATTACAGGTGTGAACCACCACATGTGTTCTGACTATACCATCACCAAGCTGTTCCATAGTTTCTCTCCCTCTCCTTGGGGTTCCCCATTCCCTGAACCACAACAATATTGAAATTAACCCAGTTAATAACCTTCCAATGGGCTCTAAGTATTCAAGTAAAAGAAAGAATCCCATGACTCTCACTTTTAACCAAAATCTAGAAATGGTTAACCTTACTGAGAAAGGCATGTGGAAAACCAAGGTAGGCCAACAGCTAGACTTACTGCACCAAAAAGCCATGCTGTGAAGGCAAAAAAGTTTTTGAAGGAAATAAAAAATCGAATCCAGAGATACATGGATAGCAGAAAAGCAAAACAGTCTTATTGCTGATAAAGAGAGTTTCAGTGGTCTGGATAGAAGATCAAACCAGATACAACACCTTCCTTAAGTCAAAGCCTAATTCAGAGCAAGGCCCAAACTCTTCGATTCTATGAAGGCTGAAAGAAGTGAAGAAGCTGCAGGAGGGAAGGTGGAAGCCAGGAGGCTGGTTTGTAAGATTTTAGCATAAACGTAAGAGGTAAAGCAGCAAGTTATCCAGAAGGTCTAGCTAAGGTAACCAGTGAATGACCACACTAAACAACAGACTTTCAATGTAGACAAAACTGTCTTCCATTTGAAGAAGATAACAGATGTGACTGTTATAGCTTAAAAAAAAAAGAAGTCAACGCCTGGCTTCAAAGCTTCAAAGGCCAAGCTGACTCTTTTGTCAGGGGCTAAGAGTGTTTAAACTGAAGCCAATGCTCACTTACCATTCCAAAAATTCTAGGCCATTAAGAATTATGTACATCTACTCTGCCTGTGCTTTAGAAATAAAACAACAAAGTCTAGATGACAGCACATCTGTTTATAGCATCGTTTACTCAATATTTTAAGCCCATGGTTGAGAACTGCTCAGAAAAAAGATTCCTTTCAAAATATTACTATTCGTTGACAATGCACCTAGTCACCAAGAGTGCTGAAGGACATGTACAAACAAGGAGTTGAACACTGCTTTCACGTCTACTAACACAGCCTCCATTGTGCAGCCCGTGGATCAAAGACTAATTTCTTTTTTTTTTTTTTTAATTTTTTCTTTTTGAGTTGGAGTCTCACTCAATTGCTCAGACTACAGTGCAGTGGCCGCTCCCGGCCACTGCAGCCTCAACCTGCTGGGCTCCAGCGATCCTTCTGCCTCAGCCTTCTAATTAGCTGGAACTACAGGCGAGCGCTACTACGCCCGGCTAATTTTTTTGATTTATTGTAGAGATGAGGTCTTGCCAAGTTGCCCAGGCGGGTCTCGAACCCGCAGGCTCGGGCAACTCACTCACCTCGGGCTCCCAACGGGTGGGATTACAGGCTGAGCCACTGAGCCCAGTCAAGGACTAATTTCAACCTTCAAGTCTTATTATTTAAGAAAGACATTTCATAAGATTATAGCTGCCTTACAGAGTGATTTCTCTGGCAGATCTGGACAAAGTAAATTGTCAGGTGCAGTGGTTCACACCTGTAATTCCAGCACTTTGGGAAGTAGAAGGAAGAGAACTGTCTGAGCTTAGGAGTTCGAGATCAGCCTGAGCAACATGGCGAAACCTCATCTCTAAACAAATCAAAAAATTAGCTAGGTGTGGTGGCACATGCCTGTGGTTCCAGCTACTTGGAAAACTAAGGTGGAAGGATCACCTGAGCCCAGCAAGCTGAGGCTGCGGTGGCTATGAATGTGCCCAGTCTGGATGACAGAGTGAGACTACGACTCAAAAAAACCAAAAAACTGAAAACCTTCTGGGAAGAATTTGCCATTCTAAATGTCATTAAAAACATATGCAAAGCCGGGCTCAGTGGCTCAGCCTGTAATCCTGCACTTTGGGAAGCCGAGGTGAGTGAATTGCCTGAGCCTGCGTGTTCAAGACCTGCCTGGGTAACTTGGCGAGACCTCATCTCTACAATAAAATCAAAAAAATTAGCCGGGTGTGGTAGCGCACACCTGTAGTTCCAGCTATTTGGAAAGCTGAGGCGGAAGGATCACCGAAGCCCAGCAGGTGGAGGCTGCGGTGGCCAGGAGCGGCCACTGCACTACAGTCTGGGTGACAGAGTGAGATTCCAACTCAAAAAAAAAAAAATTTGCAATTAATGAGAGGAGGTAAAAATATCAACATTAACAGGAATTTAGAAAAAGTTGATTCCGACCCTCACTGATGACTTTAAGGCATTCAAGACTTCAGTGGAGGACGTAACAGCAGATGTGGTAGAAACAGCAAGAGAATTAGAACTGGAGTCTAAAGATGTGACCAAATTGCTACAATCTCATGATAAAACCTCAAGAGAGGAGGAGATTCTTCTTATGGATGAGCAAAGAATGTAATTTCTTGATATGGAGAACTTCTACTCCTGGTAAAAATGCTGTGCACATTGTTGGAATGACAACAAAGGATTTAGAATATTACCTAAACTTGGTTGATAAAGCAGCAACAGGGCTTGAGGAGACTGATTCCATTTGTGAAAGAAGTCCTGCTCTAGGTAAAGTTCTATCAAACAGAATCACACGCCACAGAACAATCTATCATGAAAGGAAGCGGCAACTGACATGGCAAACTTCATTGTTGTTTATTTTAAGAAACTGCCACAGCTACCCCAACCTTCAGCAACCACCATCCCGATCTGTCAGCAGCCATCAACATAAAAGCAAGACCCTCTACCAGCAAACAGATGACAACCTGTTGAAGGCTCAGATGATTAGCATTTATTTTTTAATTAAGGTACGTACAATGTTATTTTTAAATATAAGGCGATAAAACACTTAATAGTTATATTTAACTTTAATATGCACTGAGAAACCAAAAAATTTATATGATTTGCTTTGCTACAATACTCACTTTATTGTGATAATCTGGAACCAGACTCACAGTATCTCTGAGGTATGCCTGTACAGGGATATAGCTGAGGAGGAATACATAGGTGCTTCCAACAGTATTTGTAAGACTTAATTTCTTAAACTGGATGATGGGCAAACTTTGAGTTTATTATATAATTTTCTAAATTTTTTTATCTCCAAAATAGTCTATAATTAAAATGTATTTAAGAAAAGGAAAAAAGAAAGCAGAGTAGCTTCCCTACAGATTCTACAATAGGGAAAGAAGAAAAAAAGAGAGGAATGGCCTGGCTGTATTTAGCTGTAAGTATGGCTGCAAGAAATGTACAATGGTTCCTCTGTATCTGAGGGTTCCACATCCACAATTCAACTAACCACAGACTGGAAATATTTGCAAAAAATAATAATAATATAAATTTTAAAAGTACACTATAGCAACTATTTACCTAACATTTACATTGTGTTATGTATTATAAGTAATCTAAGGATGATTTAAAGTATATGTGAGGATGGCTGTAGGCTACATGCAAGCACTACACCACTTTTATAAGAGCCTTAAGCATCTCCAGATTCCAGCATCCTTGAATCTAGTATACACACAGGGTGCTGGAACCATTACCCGCAAAGACTGAGGGGTGACTATACTACCGATTCCCAGATAATTTCTTAATTTAATGATCTTCAAAGGCTATTCTAAATAAGCAGCTTGCCTAAAAGCTGATTGATGCTACAGCATGAAACAAAAAACCTACATCAAATTTCTAAAACAGAATTACTCTTTCACTTACCATAATTGTAATTTCCCTTTTACAAATGTTGAGGTCTGGTATGTTATTGACATACATTCGCTTCAGTGCACATCGAATTCCACCGTGAGTCCGCACTAGGAAAACTGTGGAGAATCCACCTAAAAAAAAAAAAAGTATCAAGTAACTTTTAAAAATCGGGGATACCTGCCAAAATCATATAATATCACTGTGGAGCTTAATATCAGAGGGAAATAAACAGTGATTGCACCCAAGACAAAAATAAGTGCAGTAAATCACTATCAGATCAAAAGCCAAAACGCTGACTCCCTAAGCCAATCATGAAGTTGTACTTAAGAGAAAAATGTGCTTCACAAGTGAACATGACTCTCTTTAAAAGCTAAAACACTAGAAATCCACCTTTTGCACAGGAATAACTCTTATACAGCATGGAAAATGTCCTACCTAGTCCACAGTTTGGTATAACCCAGTGATGGCCTACCCATCAAACACCCCCTCCTGTGATTTACACTAAGACATGGACAGGACGGGTCCTCCTCCAGTCCCAGAGGATGAACCGCCCTGTTCTAAGCCACAGGGCTCTCATTCTTCTTCTCAGTAACTAAGTTAGGCTTGGGCACAGCACCAGCTCTGGCTAATGGGGAACAGGGTAAAGCCTGCCCACGCTGCAGGATATGATCTTCCACTGAGATAAAAGAGAGAGACTAGCAGCCCTGCTCTTCCTTCCTGCTTTTATTGTGTTGGAGCTGACATTTAGATCTCATGCAGTGATGGAAGAACACTGACACTTGGGCTACCAAATGAGCCAACTCTGGAACAACCTTCCTCCAGAACTCTTAGAACAAATGTCATTATTCAAGCCATGGTTATCTGGATGTTCTATTAGCTGCAACTAAGAACACATCTCATCTGAAGCACATGCTAGCTAGGTATTCTAAAGAACCTTTTGGCGCATCTAAACAAAGATTTCCACTTGGAATTTTAAAAACTCATGGTGGCATAAAACATTCTATAGTTTAATTACATTTTTTAAAAAATACAGTGTGTCACTTTCATCAGTTTGATTGCCCTGATGCATCCTGAGCAATAAGAAGTTACCTGCACCCCAGTTCAATACAAAGCAAAGGAACAGTCAAGCATTCGGTGTAAATAACAGAGGGAAAGAGCACCTGGACACTCGAGTCTGAACACACTCACTCTTGAGTCTCCCTCCATGGCCATCACAAGACACTACTGATTCCTATCCCATTCACCTGGACCTTCACATATATAATGTTGAGGAAAACAAACCCACCACTCCACAGGCAGATATCCGAAACAAATCAGAAGGTGATGGTGTTGGATTTTTTGTAAAAGCTCTAACAGTCCAAGGCATCACTTAAAAGAAGTCCACTGAGCATCAAGTTCATATGTAAACATTAAGAAGTTAGAAGGTAAAAGACCAAATAAAGTGCCACTCAAACTATTCACATTTTATTTGGTTACACAATTAAGGAAAATCTTGAAAGTCAGAATATACCTAGATAAGAAAGTAGCATGAGTACAGCCAAGAGAAATCATTTAAATGGCATTTGTTTTGAGATACTTATCTAAAAGCTAAGTCTAGATTTTCTCCTACTAACAATGCTACTTATCAAGCATCAGAACTGCCTCGTGTGGCTGGTTTGTGTGTGAATTATCTTGAACAGTTTCCAACTTCTGACCCCAAGTCTGAGTCAGGGGTTTAAAAAGAGACCTCGTATATACATTGCTGAAACTCCCCTACTATTCTCCTTTTGTATCTGCTTTAAACTGCATATCAGATGGAGGGGAAGAGAGTTCCCACAGTTGGTTTTGATGCAGAGCCAAGTTCTACAGCCACTGAACCAAGCTCCTGGAGGAACCTGGGATCCTATATAGGAACCTACTCTGACCCACTCACATAACAATATGACTTTATTCCATGAATCAGAGGAATGCAGAAAAAACACCAACTAGGTTTTCTTCATAAAGCCATTCCTAAAGTGAAAGTTTTCCATTTTACTAAGCCTAATTTAGACAGCTATCTAGCCAAATGTGTTCATCAACTGTAAAATACAATCTATAACCAAACATGGTAAAGAATGATCACTAGTGGTGACTGCTTTGAAAATAAAATGGAATAATTTATTATTTCCTCAAATACTATATTTTCCAGAATTATCTGATTAAGTGCTAGCTAATATTATTAGTGCTTGAAGAATGCATTTAAGACCAGGTGTGATGGCTCACATCTATAATCCCAGCACTTTGGGAGGCCAACACAGGAGGATTGCTTGAGTCCAGGAGTTCAAGACAAGCCTGGGCAACTTGGTGAGACCCATCTATACAAATACTCAATTAGCCAGGCATGGCAGCACATGCCTGTAGTCCTAGCTACCTGGAAACCTGAGGTGGAAGGCTCACCTGAGCTCAGGAGGTTGAGGCTAAGGTGATCATGCCATTGCACACCAGCCTACACAACAGAGAGAGACCCCAACTCAAAAAAAGGGAGAGAAGGAAAGGGAAGAGTGAGGAGGGAGGGTAAGTATGCATTCCATCAACAATTAAAAAATTTTTAAATCTATTCAGGATTCAAAATTGATTTTCAAAGATCCAAAAGGTCCTGGAAATCAGTACCAAGTATTTTGAAGTCATGCAATACTGAATTAATAAGTACTTGATAAATATTTATTTGTTCATACAATTAGTCTCCCTTTCAGGTTTCACAGCACTTCTCTGAAACTCACTCAGCTTCCTGTTCACATTATATAGCATACTTGGTGCAGCTGAACAATATGTCTCCTAGTGGGCAATTTGAGGAAGGTCACATGCAAGAGCAAATGCAAAATAAACTATCAACATATCCAAAACACAGTTGTTCAATCACCTATGACTTAGCCAAACTGCTCTGTCTCTCCATTTAAAAAAGGGGTTTTTTTTTTTTAAATGCCTTGTTAAAACTAACATACACTAATTTATTTGACATACTTGCTACAAGTAAAAGTGTCCCGGTCACTACACGAAATTAATTTAGTCAGGCATAATTTGCTCTCAATGACTGTCCCTCAGCTCTTAATCAGTACTTGATTTCCAAAGCATTAAAAATTCAATTTGGGACAAATTACATACAATTAGATACCATTAAAAGTTTTCTATAACCGTATTCTCAACTCATTTTCTTGCCCAATTACTCATTCCCAAAAATGACAGACATTGTCAATGAAACTGGAATTAAAAGTATCCAAATTGAGTAGGAAAAAAAATTGAATAGGATATGAAAAAACTGATTCACCAAGGATCATCAATGTATACCAAAATCCTAGATGGAAGGTTGGTAAGAAATAGGATATTTATATAGTTCCCAAGTATCAAAGGGAAAAACGTCTCTTTGCAAGAGAGCAATCTCTGGTGGTCACTAACACCGGGACAACCTGACATCAGTGCTTCCTGATATGATGCAATATGAAGGAAACAGCAACATCCATGAAGTTCCCTCGCCAAAAACCTTTAATCTAATAAATCTTAAACCTAACTTTTACTTACAAAAAAAAAAAAAATTAAAAAAGAATACAGGGGCTAGAAGAACAAGGAAAATGACAACACAAAGAAACAATCAGACAAACTAGAAGTGGAACACTGCACATGTGAACTCATTAAGGAGTCAACACAACACATTAAAATAATGAGGGGCCAGACTCTGTGGCTCAGCCTGTAATCCCAGCACTTTGGGAGGCCAAGGTAAGGGAATTGCCTGAGCCCACAGGTTCAAGACCAGCCCAGGCAACTTGGCAAGCCCTCGTCTCTACAATAAATCAAAAATTAGCCAGGCGTGGTAACACACACCTGTAGTTCTGGCTACTTGAAAGGTTGAGATGGAAGGACTGCCAGAGCCCAGCAGGTCAACGCGCAGGTGGCTGTGGGAGTGCCACTGCACTCCAGCCCGGGCAACAGAGTGAGACTCCAACTCAAAAAAATAATAATAATGAGGGACAGTATTCTATATTTTACAGACTTTACCATCAAATGCAATGTATAATCCTGGGCTGGATTCTAGTTTGGATTCTGTAAAGTGTATCTCTTGTTGGTAACAAACTGCTTGAAAGTAAGCTATAGACATCATGTCACTTTACTGAACAATACTTAACAGGTACGTAAACACACATACATCCTAAAAGTCCATATATTATCCTATATAACTACAGTACCTCTGCCCTACCTAAAAAGATAATTATTCTAATGCACAGTCATCACTCAAAATTACCAACATGATGCAAAAATGTATAAGGAAAATGTGATGAAATGCTACTCATAGTTGAATCCAGATGATGGACATACAGTTATTTACTGTACCACTATTTCAACTTTTCTGTTTTAAATTTTTCATAATATAGCTGGGAAAAAAACAAGAGACTCGGTGTGTTTTTTCCCTGGGTGATTCATCTCTCTTGCCATCCAACAACCTCAGCACCACTAAGAATTATCTGCTGATTGCTCAGACAGCACTGAAAGTCTCTTGCCATAGAAAATGTTGACGGTATCCTAGAGACCCACAGCTCCAACATCCCAACACACACAATTACTGCATGTTTATGAAAGAAGACTGGGCTTTTAGTGGTGTTTGCACCTATCATGTTTATGAAAGAAGACTGGGCTTTTAGTGGTGTTTGCACCTATCAAGAGAGTTGACGAAAACAGAAGGAAAGGATTCAATTACATGTGGTCTTTCTGTATTGTATTAATCATTAGACACCAAGCAAATCAGTAAAATAAAGAGAATACCACGCTGTCAGCAACTTCTGGTTTCAACCAATGTCATTTGAAAACCATGTTCAGGATAAGTGGGAGATGTAGTACTTATTTGTGAGATCTGAGCCACAGGAAAGTTCCTCCCACCCCATGGCTACTGGCCTGTGATACAACACAGTTTCATTACTTTAGTTAACAATGACTCTAGAACTGTTTCCTTTAAAAGTAAAAATACTCCTAAAGAGAAGTGGTTAATAACTTAAATTCTTGCCAAAGTTACTGGATCAGTAAGTGCTATCTACTACAGGGCAATGAAAGAATGAGTCAGCATACTTGAATGAGAAGAGAACAGGAGAAGGAGGGGTAGAAAGAGAATACACTGTCTTATTA